GTTCGCACTTACGAATAAAATTCAGTTTGCACCTCTGAAATCCTTCCTTTCTTTCTTTCAGTCCAACATACGTCTAATTCTAATACGAAATGAATAATCCTCTCTGTACCGTTCCAATTATTCCTATTTCCACGTTCCTATCACTGCTCTTTCTTCTCCCTTTCCCACCTGGTATTATTACTTTTAGCAGTGCTCAATATTGTTTATGATCCAGCTAGGTTTTATACAGTTGTTATCTAACTCAATCTGTTTCTCTGTGGATTAACTGTTTCCAGAAGAGAGCGTACACAACTGTGCGTACACTGTGACTGACTGAGAAACTGTTCTCAGTGTATCTGAACAGAGACTGTATGAATATCATGATGATGTATTAGAACACGCACTGCACGCGGCCTTTTGCAGGTGGTTGACTCTGAGAGACAGAGGGTAGCGCTTGGTAAGTAATTGATGGCCGCAACATGAAGGTACATACGATTGTCTGTTGTAGAATCCACGGTGAGCGATGCAGCCTGGCGGATATCCTGGCAAATTGTGATCTGAGCTAATCCCAGTTGATTTTCAGGTTGTTCTCACGGTCATTCTGGCAGTTGTTCTGGCACTCTTTCTACTATTCGCAGTTAATAATGCGTCGATATTAATTCCGAGTATTCTTCCTTCGTTCGGATACCGTTTTTCTGTGACCCTTTTATATATCCGTTCTGTTTCAACTTAAGCCTTGGTCGGTTACGTCTCTGAGAAACTATCGATAAATAGACCACCGCTATATCTGTCCCGTGAATTTACGCCAGAATGACCATCACGACTGCAGCGATAGGCGACGTGGAGCGAATCTTTCTACCATCAACGGAAATGTACTTTGCCTGATTTTTGCTAACGCAGCTTTGTACAGGGCTGCCGCACTTCCTGTGACTTTTCGTCTGATGACCGAGAAGCTCAGAGTCGACCCTAGAGTCACCAGATTCGTCCTGCCGATCGGTTGCAATATCAACATGGATGGTACCGCGCTCTTCGTCGCCGTCGCCAGCATATTCATTGCCCAGATGAATGGTATCTTCATGGGCTTTGGGGAGATCATCACCGTTATGTAAGTCTCCCTTGCCTTGCAATAACCTCTTTTGCCGAATCAAATTTTTTTTTAAATTTATCTAATTATGTATTTGCTTGTATTTAATTATGTATTCATCGTCCTATTTTTTATTATCATCTCGTTTTACAAAGTTTGACGTCCACTGCTGCTTCTGTCTCGTCGGCCTCGGTCCCAAGCGCTGCGCTCGTCCTGCTGTTAGTTGTCCTAAGCGCTATTGATGCTCCCGTTAATGATGTTTCTCTTTTATTCGCAATCGATTGGTTTGTGTGAGTATCAAGCAGAATATTCTTTTATTCATAAAATGTCTTATCTCATAATATGTCCTATTATTACGATATGCTACAAGATAAACTGAGTCTCGTTTTTAAAAATTATAGGAGAAGAAAAATATCATATATATTATAATGTTTTTTGAAAATTCTTTCAACAATCAGCAAAACATTTTAATATTACCTGTTAATATGAATATAATTTTATATCGATTAGGGATCGGATAAGAACCACCAATAATATGCTAGGAGACTGTTACGCCGCTGCAGTTGTCGAGCAGCTCTCGAAAAAGGAATTGATGGCATTGGACGCAGCAGCCTATCAAGTAAAATACAAAATAACTTTATAATTAATTACGTTGTATTAATAACGTACTGAAACTAAAAAAGTGTGTTTAATATTTACTAGATAATTCGTCTCATTTGTTCCTGTATGTATAAAAACAGTTTTTATTTTCACACTGATGTAACAATGCGCGATAATTTATTTCTAGTCGGAGACTGTGCTGCCAACCACTATTGCCAATGGATGTCTTACCGCCAACAGGGTACCTGATCCTGACACCGTTGTTGTCGAGATGCAAGACGACGCGCGGATAACAGGGATCGCCAAGTAAACACGCTTGTTGGTAGGGCTAGGCTATCACTTTGTACGATCATTATAAGATCATGTCAGTTTAATAATAACATCGCTTCGCGAATCGCTGATTTATCTGCCAATTAGCAAACTGGGGACTTGACGGGAAAAAATGAAGACTGTCAAAGCCAGCTAAGCTTGATAAAATTCATACGCATTTTGCGCACGCATTAAATCTTCCTCATCATAAGAATGACATTAAACAAATGACAATTTCGCATTTTTTCTGTGTCAAGTTTTCAAGTTGAATGGTGAAAGCATTCTACAAATTTCTTCTTTTCTTTCAGCTTCGGAATATTACACATGTCGAGAAGTGTGACGGAAGAGACCGTTTGACTAATGGTTAGTTCGGCGAGATAATTTAACATCGCAGAATCTCATCAGCAAATAAATTGATTCTGCGATCTGTTTGAATTGTTCTGCGAGGATTAAAAACGTACTTTGGCGCGTTTAGTTCCTCTCTACTTCTCTTTGTTTTAAACAATCCTCGAAGTTCATCAAGATCTTCCGTAAGGAATTTTATAAGACAAGACGGAAGTTCTTGCGGAAAATGCGATTGCTAATGAAGACACGAAGATATTTAACTGTTAATAAGAACGGACTATATGTTACTTACATGTGCAGGTACAGCAATAAAAATTGAAATTACGATCGAGGCTTCCAAAGACTCGAAGGTAGCGCATTTTGTCAATCGCTATGATGATAATAATTACATTGGATATTGTATAGGCAAAAAGTCGGGATATAAGTCGTTCAACGACTTCTAAAGGGATCAGGCTGGATTAGTAAAATATTAATCCGATTGACCGACTCACATTCGAATATATGATAGATGACGCGATCGTAGATTAAAGATACACCCCTAGTAAACCCCGCAGATGATCGATGTTAAAAACCGTTTCTACGATCGATTATATAAACAGCATGTCGAATGTGGTGCCTTATTTTGCGCCAAGCAGGCAGGCGCGATGAAAGTAAAATGTCTTGCCTGAGTTTTTTTTTCTTTTTCGGGTATACCCTCCCGTGATATACGTATCGCGTGTAAAACGTCGATTCCAATATATCTGACGCTTCTCGATGTGATTTAGAACATCCTAGCTCCGAATCTGAAGATTGCAGAGCATGACTGTCATCAGTGACGCGACGAATATATAGCTTTCTATCGGAAATAGAGAAATTTTTTACGATGTTTGGAAAGGGAGCTTGATGTGATAACTGTTAGGTAGCTATGTGCATACTACACATATCTAGAATAAAGTAAATAATGTTTTAATTACCCTATAATGTTATTACTAGAATACAGTTATTACTAGGCTACATTTTAAAGACCGCTCGCTTCGCGTATCGCGTACCGATTACGTCACTGATCACAATCCAAATTAATGAGGGGAGAAATTAAGAAAATTATACGGCAACAATATACGTGTTCAGCGGAGATTAATATAGACTCCACGCTGAAAATACAGCAAAGAAGACTTACAAGCGAGTAAAACTTTAAATAGATTTTAAAAGCCATATCGATCTAACTATCGGACCATTAATTGACGGAAACTGATGTATAGAACCTTTCTATGTGTTCTGCTTTTGAAAAACGAATGTTTTTGCGAAAGAGTGCTTGCCGAGACAGAAATTGAAACCCTGGACGTGTATTTTGTTAAAATTAGAGATAACGTTTCAGAACTATCTCAAATTTTCAAAAGAAAATTTCTCTTTCACGTGGGAACAAAAAGTATTTAAAACTTTCAATAATGTTGGTTTATATTAATTGTAATTACGGACGTCCAAGATTCTATCTCGTTGCACTCTTCTCAAATTAGTGCTCCCTGCCGTAGAAAAACATACCTTCCAATATGATGTTGTCCAGATCGTAGATTAGAATAAACAAGTTCGTGTTTTTCGATCGTACGTGGAAGATTATACTAATTCTTCTATGAATGACAAAGAGAACAGAATATTTAAATAGTGCAGCTCATTGTCGGGCGCCCACAAGACTGGATATACAATATGATAATACCATTTTGTTAGACGTAATAATGGGTAAACGATTCCTATACATGGTTTCGCTAATACTAGGCACTAGATAGGTAGGTCGATACGTGTTTCATCGTAGAGACTGTTTAAATGTACAAACTGTTTGAGAAGATAGAGAGAGAAATACGTAGTATTATTTTTAGCAATTATTGTTTATTCATCCGTACAAATTGCAATGTATTATTTAAATTCTTTTAGTTAATTTATTCGGAATAAATATTATTTCACACGCGCCTTTTACGAAAATCAATTTCTATTGTTGAAGATTAATCAATCGAAAAGTAAATGCAAAATTGAATTCTTTTATTTTGAATATTCAAAGCAAGTATTACTAAAAATATTTAGAAATTATAAATTATAAATGGTAATTTGTATTTTGCCGTAAAACATCGAAATGGCATCGAAATATATTATGAAAAGAAATTAGAGAGAAATCATAAACTATGGAACAATTTATAATTAAAAATAGAAAAGCTTGCTACTTATAATTAATAATTATTTTTTAAATTTAATTACCAGTTAATTTTGTTAATTATAATTTTTCTATTTTGTTAAAAAATTCTATAATATTCTTTCAAGTGATATATCGGGTGCTCCTGTTACTCGGCACGTTTTATGCTCAAGCATTGAAAAAGTGGGATACTACACAATAACTGCGAGAGTAAAACGAGTGGAGAAAACATGGAATAAACTTATCAAAATAATCCGAAAAATACGTGTATACTTGTAAGGCTCAACGTGTTGTATAACAAAAAGCAGATTTATACGTGGAAACATTTGGTCTTCTTCATTAGCAATCCCTGTCGCTTTCCCTCTTTCCGATTTCTTATTAGATGATATGTTTTGCGTGACAAATTCAAATTAGTAATTAAATTAATTTTATTCGAGTAAGATGAGTGTCGGAACACGATAAAAAAAATACAACTTCCTAAAAAATTCATTTATTTAAGGCCCACATCGCAGTAAGGCCCTCAGCTTGGAAGTCTTTGTACAGAGAACAATTTTATACAAAATATGACATACATTTATATATATATTCAGTGCGTTATGTATATATGTATCGGGCTGAGAAATTCCATCCCTCGTTACATCGAGATCGCGTTCGGGGGACGAAGTAACAATTAATCAACGAATATATATGGACGTCTTTAGAGATGCGCTGCCACGAAATACAGTGTGTGATCAGTTCGCTCGTGGTAGCGCGTTTTTGTTTTTAGTTCGGATGATATCGCCATGTTCGTCGTAGTATTAACTGATTCGATATAATAAAATTAGATTACTATACACACATTCACGCGAAGGCTTGATGAACATGGCGCGATCATTCGGTTTCCGGTTTACAGTAAGGACAGTCTATTCTTTTTGATTATGACAACATCGTTATTCTCATAGAATATTATTTACAATGCTACTTAATGACTAAACGCCGTCGCAACCGGCGGATATTTACAACATTCCGCTCAGAAAGTACAATTGTTTTTAGTTAGCTATCGATCGGAATAAAGAACGTTTGTATTATATAGCAGATATAGAATTGTCAAGGCGCAATCGCCACTTTTTCGCTTCCTGTTTCACTCATACCGCTCCTCGCGTTGAATCGAAACTATTTATAAAGTTTATATTTTGTTAACATTTTGTTAATTAATTAATAAGTAACAATTAATCGCGGGAAAGTAGCGTTTGCGCGTGACAGGGAGAATGATTCGGCCACGATTTCTTCCTATGGTCGATCAAATTGAAATTACTAAATTAAAATAACTCGTTAACACTATACCCGCGGATCACGTTCGCACGGTCTGAGAGAGCAATATACATATATCCATTAATAAATCACATTTAACAACGCATATTAACAGGAATTATTCGCATTACACGAGGTACCGCATCGTCCGATATCGCATTCCCGGCGAGTCATCACTGTATTAACACTAAGAAATTAGTACCCAAAGTACGCCGGATTAAAATCAGAGTATTCTCAAATCCTTAGCTCGGCATCAGCGACGGGAATTCCTCGGTTGGCACTTTGATTCGATCTCTGGGTGGCAGGTGGTACGAGGGGGCTAATGCTAGGACTTCTCGTAGCTAGGGGTGATAATGAGGGGGAAAAACTCGGACTTAGCGCAGCGGAAGGGAAGGTAGAAGCATCGTGACTGATCGGCGATCTTGGTAGAATTCCTCTCGCTAACGCTGGTGCCGCCAACGATCTTGGAGCGACGGACGTGAGCAATGGTGGCGGTGGTGCTTTATGTACAGACTTAGTCTTGCCGCTGCTGCCGGAGTTTCCGCTTTGAACGCTGGCGGCATCGTCCTTTAGCCTAGCAATCTCACTGAATACGTGAGCTAGCGGTTGATACTGGGGTCCCCAGTCTAATAGATAGTCCCAATTGTACGAACCAGTGAGCTCCTCTTCGCTGTGCACGATGGAACTTAGGGAACCATTCATCGATGGTCCACCTGGTACTTCCAGACCAGAAGTGGGTCGTCCAGATTCCCCAATCTTACCATAAATCAACGTTGCTATATCTGCCTCGGTGCTCGCCTCATCTTCAAACAGATGCAAACTGTTCAGAGGCAAAGCTTCGGGAGGCCTCCTAGGCGTACCGGCTGGAGGATCCACGATGCCTAATCTAGCCAAGTATTCCTGAGTATTGTGAACTGAAAGATCGCTCGCGGAATCACCGGTCTGTTGACCCTCATTGATCATCCTGATTTCTTCATCGTCCCCATCATCCTCAGCGGAGCCTCTGCCAGAAGAACCAGACTGATCGCTTCCGGAAAGCTCGGAGGTAGCTTGCTGTTGTCCCGATTGACTGGATGTCCCATAAGGAGGTATTTCGTCATATTTCGGAGGGGCAAACTGGCAGGACGCGCCGCCACCCGCTCCCCCGCCACTTGCGGAACTACCGTTTCCACTCGCCCCGACTCCGGCCACACTTCTGATCGGGATCGTGTCAAATGCGCTCGGGTCCACATAACTGTTTGACGCAGTAGCGTTGCTCTCGCCATTCAGACCTGGCTTCGTACCGGGCTTCTTATGACGGCGATTACGAATGTGAAGATAGAGAAAGATGGCACCAAACGCGAGAATGAGAAGAAGGAGAGCGATCAACAGACCCAGGACCCAATCGGCTAAACCACCCGAAGTAGCTACAGCCATATTCGAACCGATATCCGTAGGCGCTAGAGCGGTAGCTCCTCTAGCTCCGTTCAGCTCGGTATCTTCCATTAGTGTAATTTCTACTACCGTCATGTTAGACAAAGAGCCCTGTCTACCGGAACTCGCGCTGACTACTAATCTGGGTGATTCGTCCATATCGATGTGCATCAATTTCTGCTTCACAATCAATGCACCGGTCGTGCGATTCAATTTAAAATAAGGATGTTGGGATGTTAATTGATACACGACTCGACCATCGGGTCCTTTATCGCGATCGGTCGCCGTCACGTGACCAATTACTGTGCCAGGCAACATTTGAGTACTGCTCCTTATTCCGAATCGATACATCCTCTCGGTAAATTGTGGAAAGAATTCATCCCTCGAGTCAATCTCCACTCTGACACGCACCGCCGCTGTACGACCGCCTGCGTCCGTGGCACGCAATGTAAAAGCGTACCGATTCCGCTGCTCGTAATCAAACACGGCGCGAGTGATGACGGTACCCGATTCATCGACCGCGAACAGCTTCCAACTGTCATCAATGTCGGAGAATCCGCTGGCGGCGGAAACAATGGAGTAGTTCAATGATCCAAAAATGCCGCGATCCAAATCCGAAGCACGCGCGGAGAAGACAATTGTGCCAATCGGCTCATTCTCACCAACAAACTCGAGATACTCGGAAACCGGAAACTTTGGCGAATTGTCGTTCACATCTTCCAGATAAACGCGAAGACTGGCGAGTGCGCAAAGAGGCAAAGTCGGATCGCTGTCGCAAACCATCACCACGAGATTGTAGACTTCGGGCTCGAGATCACAGTCAAGCGTAGAGTTTACTAAGACGGCGCCAGTTGTCTTCTCTACACGGAAGAGACCACCATCGTTCCCTGAGGTAATGTCGTACACGAGGGTGGCCGCTGTGGTATTAACTAAATCGTCGTCCTTGGCTTGTAGGACGGCAATAGTAGTTCCGTACGGAGCGTCTTCCTTGATCGATACTTCATAGAGCTTTTCCAGGAAGTGCGGATAATTATCGTTGACATCCTCCACGTTGATTGTTACTATTATCGGTTCATCTCCCATCAGTAAGCCTGTCGTCGTGTTTTCGATCTTGTTGCCCAATTGTAGCATGTATCTAGAAAATCAAATATGCGATTTGGTAGAGCTCCTAGATATTTAAAAATAAAGAAAGTAGAAGTAAAGAGAAAAAGAGAGAGAGAGAGAGACAGAAAGAATGCTAACAACAAGAAACACTGATTAAATCACATAAATCTTAATCTATAATATGTTCTTTGCTTCCTGTTTCTTACTTTTTATCACTTTTTACTTCTTACTTTTTTGTCTTTTATCTTGTTTTTTCGTTTTTTATCATTCGAGATAAAAGATGACGGATTTTAGAAGAGACAAGAAGCACTTAACAATAAATGTGATTGTCAATAAAACGGTTGCAAACAGGACAAAAGGCAAGAGATAAAAAGTAAGGAATAGGAAGTAAAGAGCACATTGTAGATTAAACTTAAGAATCAACGTAATAAAATCATAGAATCAAATTTCTATCTACACTATCGCTTACCTGTCCCTCGTCTCGCGATCAAGCGTCTTTGAAAGTATGAGCCGATCCTTAGATATCTCAAATGTTCCGCTATCGTCGCCCGCAATGATGGCACCATCCAGGAGGTCTACGTCGGAAAGTTTCATCAGCGTCGTACCTTTCGGCACACTTTCCTTCACCATGAAATTGTATTCCCGCCCAGGTAGGGCGCTCTTTAAACTGCTAAATCGTACTACAACCGAGCACACCGACGATGCCGCGGGTTTGCCATGATCCTCCGCAACAATCGCCAAGTCCATCTCTTTTGGTATCGGCCTGGATATCGCTGTGTGATTAACAGTCAGAATGCCGGTCGCGGGATCCACTGAAAATCCCTTCACGGGACGCAGCAGATAATATCGCACTCGGCTGTTCTCTTCCGAAAGGTCGTCGTCCGTAGCGTTTACCGTCAGAATTTCCTGCTTACCTTGCCCTTCTGAAATGAGAAAAAAAAATCAACACGGTTACGCAGCGTGTAATTATATTAACATAAATTCGTACCAGGCTTTTTTAAAATATTCTTGGAGTGAATATAAAGAGAAAGATATTTAGATGCGAAATTATAAAGAGAGCTCATATAACGTCATACGAGACGGCATTCATTAGTGAACGGCAGGGACTCGAGAAGCACTCTCCGCGAGATCGATTATCGAGTCGTACATTGTACAAGGAACCACTCGACAGGGACGCGGGAGAAAGATCGAGAGATCAGCAGGCCCGAGCTCAAATACTCTTCGTGTCTTCTTGTTGAGGATGCGTCCTCGACCATCGCTGGTCTGGACCGACATTACGAACGCCTTTTTTCGGGCGGCGAGCAAGGAGGATAAGCCTTCTTGACATCAGGCCCGAACGGAAGTATAAAATAATAACCAGTTATATATAAATCGCGCCGCGCGGTACCATGGATCCAGGCTCTCGATGGCGCGTTGCGCATACAAAAATCATTTCGATGCGTTTCAAATCGTTGGATAACTCGGCATTAATGTGCCAAGCCGCAGCCTAAAGTACAGGAAGGCAGGGGAAGATATAGGCCGATGCGTGGAAGAAGGTTTGAAATAAACCTGGAGGATATGATTCCCTTCGGGGATCTTGCGCCACAGCCGGGAGGAGCGAGAGCATCTCCTCGAAAAAAAAAGTATTACCTGGCGGAGAGAGTAAGAAGAACAGTATAATTATTGCAAAGTGCGTATGCACACGCTCGCATCACGACATCTTCTCACTAATTGTAAGATAAATTCGTATTTCCAGCAGTGTCAGAATATTCCTTCTATCTCCTTCTTTTATTATTCTTAATCCTACTCTATCGCCCAATAATATTTCGATCGTCCTCGGTCGATACAATATAGTCTTACTAATCTTCGTATCACTGCTCGTCCATTAGTCTCGTTCCCTCATTAACTCCGTTGCGAGACAGATACTTTGAGAGCTTACATTGTACAGAAAGGTAGATATCTGAAAGCTAATAGCTCTTTAGTATTTAATTAAAATTCGTACAATTTTAAGAAAATGTGAGACAGAAGTCGGCGAAGCCAACTCTTCTATCTATCTTGATGTTATCACCCTCACGAACATCTATAACAGTCCCATTAACCGACCAGGCGCTTCATTAACTTTCGCTGAAATCTTTTTCGCTCAGTCAAGTCTGCAACCTTCTACAGCCACATCGCTGTTCTTTGTCTGTTCCTTCCACGAAGAACGGCACATAGCTTTTCGTGAACATGCGAGACGGAGCACGGGATGAAGCTGAAAAAGAGAAGAAGATGCAAATTCGACGTTCTTGTCACCGTGGGAGCTCCCCGCTCGAACGAGCTCTTTTCTTCCATATTCACCGCTTGCCAATCCAACCCTCCCAGTTCCCCGATCGTCTTTACTTCCCTACCGCCTATCCAAATGCACCATTAGGCGCAGGCCTATGTATTTTTAATAAGTTTCGAGTGTCTTTTCGAAGCCGACGGTTGCAGTGAAGGCGGCTTTTCGGCTGTTTCGCAAACGGTGTCCTCACGCTTATTTATGTGCGAGGAGTTCGCAATCCACCTTAGCTCTCCTTCCATCTCCTCCCCCCTTTCGTCTGGCATCCTCGCCATTCCATGCTTCCTTTCGCCTTTCGCCCTGATCTCGCATTCTCTTTCCCTCTCTTTGTACATACATCTCCTCCCCTCTTCGCCCTTTCTCCTTCACTATCTTTTTCTCTCCCATATTCAAGCAAGAACTTTTCATCGGTCTTTCTTCTACTCATCTTCCTTTTTTATCTTTCTCTTCTTCTCTCATCTCTCCTCACCACCTCTCACCCCCGCGCCGTTCTTTCTCGCGCGCTTTATCTCGGCGCGGTGTCAATTCGAGTTTGGAACACGGGCAACAGGACAACGCGTGTCTACTAAAAACCAGTTTTTAAACGCGCGTTTATTTCGCACCGAGAGGCCCGCTTGTATCTTCCCGTTGCCTCCTTCTCCTTCCTTCATCTCTTTGTGCCACTGTTGCTTCGATTTTTTTCGACGGGACGCTGACATCGAAATGCTTCGTCTAGCAGGGTGACAGAATTCGCGCGACTAATAACAACTTTATGGTATGAACGATAATGAATCCCGACTGATGAAAGATTTTCCAGCTGGTGTAAGGTACAAGATGACAGAACAATACAACGTCAACTGGATCAATTGCGCTCGAAATGACATTCGTTAAAACTCTCGCACTAGTTCGTTAACCGATCGTTAACTGATAGATTTAAATTTTTTAATGCGCGATCCTTGCGGCGAACAGCAAGAGATTTGCGGTGCGCTTTAAGAACGCGGCAACAAAGCCATCCGCGAGGAATCTCGTATACACAGAAAAATATTATTCTATTGCTAAGAAAAGTAATTATTCAATTTACTGTCTTTCTTAAGCAATGGTTATCCTTAACAAAGAATCTTTTCTTGATAATAATCTTAAAATATATTTATTACAAATCATAGAAAAATTCATTAATATGTGTGTTTAAAATAAAAATTTATTTTCTTTTAAAGAATATTACAAAATTGATCAGAGAAGCGTTTTTATATAATAAGTAAATCGAATTTATTTAAATTTAATAATCTTGATTGAAGTATTAAAATTTCTAAAATTCAGAATACTTTTTAATAAATTTGATAATTGTGATAAACTAATGATAAATTTACGGATATGAATTTTTGAAATATTTGAAACAAGTAATTATTATTTGCGTACAGTATTTTTCTGTACGTCCCTCGCCAGCGGTGTGGTTCCTCGTCTCGCGATTTCATCCTAAGCTACCGTTTCACAGAACAACCGCGCAATTTCGATAACGATCGTTCCCAATAAATCAAAGAATTATGCTCGCCGGAGCGTAATTCGTACGCCACGTGATAATCGACGCAACGATCGCGTTCGATCATCGTCCGAGTTTTGATCGCAGATTCGACGATCTGCTACCTGTTTCATCCGTGTCGCTCTCGTACGCAGAAAGAAGAAGGCATCGTATGCCCTCGATACGTACCCGAAAGAACAGCCACGTAGACAGCCTGCTTGAATTGCGGCGTGTTGTCGTTGAGATCGGTCACACGAACCGTGAGATCGGTCGTCGCTTCATGAATCCCGTCGCTAGCGATCACCCGAAGAGTGTACTCAGAACGCACCTCGGCGTCCAGACGCTTCCGTAAAACAACTTTACCACCGTACCGGTCGATGCTGAAGGGCCCCAAACTCATGTCGTCGAATCGATACGTCAATGCCGGCGAACTGTCGACGTCATTCGCCGTGATAGTCGTCAGCACAGTTCCCATGGCAGTACCTAAAATTGAAGATAGTGTCTCTTTAGCGTTTACTAATGAATATGCGTTTGTGCTGACAGTGATATTAAATACAAATAAATGCATTATTCTTAACTCAGCTAGAGTTATAAAAATTACACTCAAATTCTAAAGCATCCTGTTTGAAGTAAAGAATATAAGTGTGAATCTTCGCCTTACGACGATTGAAAAAATTTACAAATTTTTATACATATTTCTTTAAATAGTGCTAAGTAAACATTTACTTACAGTAAATAAATATTTATTCAATATAAAAAATAAAATCAAATTAATGGTTCTTATATCAAATAAATAAATATTTACCTGTAGTAAATATTTACTTAGAACTATTTAAACAAATATTTACTAAAAATTTAGTATTTTTTCTAGTTTTTTCTGGAAGATTCAAAGTTTTTTTATCTACAATACGATTTAAAACTTCACAGTACCAATCATATAGATTGTAAAATCGTTCAAAACTTTCGCTTCGAATCCAATTAAATGACTCATTAATGTAGTCGAGGGTTAATTAATACATAAATGAAGAATAGATTTACAAAATCGAAAAATGCATATATATTCATGAAGATCTCATTGCTGCAACTAAATTGGATAATCGTAAGTACTATTTTGCTATCTGATAGCGACGGAATTAAGTAAAATACGCTTGGCAAAAATAAAGAAGTCCGTTGGAGATTTCGAGCAGAATGAAGAGCTTTATCGCTTCGCATTGTGGACCGCGCGATCGCTACTAGCGGATTGCATCCTTATGCATAAAGGTGCCTACCTTTGATTTCGTTCTTTTGTCCCCTCATCGCGGAGCCACTTTGTCACTGTGAAATGATCGTGCGCGATACATATATACGAGGCGCGAATTGTGCAGCCTACGGATCTCATGGGCGCGCGCGTTCTCTTCCGCGAAGTTAAAGACACATCAAGAGGGTCGGTGCTTAAAATGCATTGGATCCGTACTATCGAATCGTTTTATCTTGGCCAGTTGCTAAGAAGAAATGGTCGAAACGAATCCGTCTGAAGAAGCGGATGAACCTCTCGCGAGGGAGACGATCGGGAGCCGCAGCCATCGCGAAGTATATTACAATGTCGTCCTGTCTAGACGTATGCGAAGAAATTGAAAACCGTATCGCGGGAACGAATTTGCGAGCACAAAGAATGGATGTGTACTCTGCATAACACAATCATAGCATACGAAATACGCTTATCGCTGCGCGAACGCGACTCCGATCGCAATTTGTCCTTAAATGTAAATTTACGCCTTCGCCTAAGATTCGTTGTTACACACAATTGCAATCAAGTAATCTCTTCTCGCAACAATAAATCATATCTTCTTACAATGAGAGAAAGATACTTAAAAATTTATTCGCGGGATATAATGTTTATTTCATTGAAATAAATCCTTATTTAAATACAGCCAAATAAAATTTTATTTTTAGCAAATAAACCATTTATTTTATTTTTTTACAATTAATAAGACATTCCACAAAAATATATAATTTTTACCACATTGATTGTTGAGGTCAAAATTAAGATTACTTATTGACTCACATGTATTTATGTCTCGATGCAAAAAAACGGAAAACGCAGTGTTTCTGTAAAAACTTATAAAGATGATTTATATACAATACATGAAAAAAAGACGAACGTATTACGTAACTTTCGGCGATTTAAACGAGATTCTCCGGCTCGGTAAAGGCAAGTATACGGTATGCGAGTACGATGGTTAAAAGGAGGTACATCATCAAGGACCGGGCTTTTGATTCCACGACCGAGCCGGGTGATATACGTCGGGCGTAGCAACACCTGCGGCAGTAAAAGAATTATTCTGTATACGCGATGAGAATGCATTCAAGAGAGAGAATAAGGGCGGGGGAAGCTTAGCTGGCACGCGGCTGCGACCGCTCGTAAATTTCACGAGAGATCGTTAAAGTCATGTAAATCGGTTTCCAGAGCGACCCCGCACCGTCTATGTACATGACTCTGTTACTGCTCCAAAACCCCTTTATTATCCCGAACACAGCTGGGACCGGAAGTAGAGATTACGACCGGAGTGCGCAATTACAATCGCGTGAATGAAACTTTGGAAACGTAAATATGTTCGCAACAGCATCGAAAAGCCGTATTCGAGTTCATGTAAAAATTAGATGATACGAATCTCATTCGTGTAAGTTTGACATTAACAATTGGCGCTAAGTTAAATCCCATAAATTAAATAAAGAATATAATACATGTTAAATCTATAATGTCAAATTTTTTTAACCTAATGTGAGTCGCCACTACTCCTACTAAATATATTATTTTTTACTAATACAAGATAATTAAATTTGACATTATATCGTGCCAATTTGATACTATATAATGTCAAATTGACACTGTATAATGTTAATATTATTATATATCTATAGATTTAACAGTGTACAAGTGGTACTCTTCAATTTTTACACAATAATTAAATAAAAACCGCAAATATAACTTCATGCGTTGCGGCATGTTGAGTATCAGATTCGTTACATAACTTCACCAAGGTAACTTCAATCACGTTTTCCTCGCATTTCATGACTCGGACCTGCAAATGAACACGTAGCGGCGACGTTAGTGCTCCTTGTATGGAAAATACGCTCGTCGGTGGTCTACCATTGTCTCGATTTCTCATGTCAGTGCCACTTTCGTAGCCGGTTCGATCGTTTCTGTCGATTAAATCCTCCCACGAATACGGGTATGGCCGCAGAAGGGCCCTACGGGAGCGGAGGCAAGGCCCATCCAACATTTGCGAGCCGCGCCTCCCACTTTCGATGATAATTATATCCTTTTATTCTACCGGGGTAATTACAAACGTTTACCGTAGGGCTTTCGAACGGGCCGCGTTAAAACCCGACCGTGCGAAACTTACGCGGATTAAACATAATCGACATCGCTGTCGTGTGAAAAACGCGAGAAAACTAACCCACGACGAGAACTCAGGCTTCTTCTATTAACCTTTAAGTAGATAGGCGATTTAAAGATATACGAGTTGATAGATGAAATGCTCAGAAGATTCTAAAAAAATTGTAATTTTATAAAACAATAAATTTAACTAAACAAGACAAATGAGAAAATTGCGCGGTTAACAAAGCACATACAGAAAAAGCAATTTTACTGAAGAATCTAAAAATTTAGCTATTAGATACAGATCTGAAAATAATTTTATTGGACCATCAAAATAATTTTGTAGGAATCACAAGCATGATGAGGAATGCTGTTTTGATATTCTAAAAACCAATTTTGATGTCCTACCTAATTATTTTCCGTGCAAATATTGTTAACCGCACTGTATTCTCATTTGCCTCGTTTGATGAAATTTATTGTTTTTTTTAATTTAAGAGTCCGCTTTAAGATTTACAATTATGAGGTTTAATTATACAGTTATATTTTTATTAATATATTACATTATAATTTAATTCACATTTGTTTTATAATTTATATAATAATTTATTATACAATTTAGATTTACAATTTTGAGGTTTAATTGTACAGTTATATTTTTATTAATATATTACGTTATATAGTTTAATCTACATTAGTTATACCTTATGAAATAGAATAATGTAAAAATAATGAATTTTAAGACTTCTGGGCATCTGGGCAATACTTTTTGTTTTCCTTTTTCTCAGAACAAGGTTTTAAAGAAAACTATACCTGAAGTGCTATAATCATCACATGTATCTACTTAAAGGTTAAGCCACTTCGTGTTGTATCATCAATTAGCGACATAAGCATAAATTTCTATGCGATTATCGTAAAAACGCGATAAGGAAAGCTGTTAGAAGACGTCAGAGCAAGCTCGTTAACCTGTCCCGTTCCACGTTACGACCACGTAATTCATATTTCTATCAAATGCGCTTTGACTACAGTGAAGTGTACAAGCTGAGCAGACGCGAGAAGCTATTTCACCTCAGCTATCGACAGGATATTGAAAGCGTCGATGCGTGTCCAGGGGAAGCGTAAATGATCGATTTAATCGGATCTTTATATAGGCGAAGAGTGACACTTACACAACGTGGTACTGACACAATCGCGATTTGCAAAACAAACTGTGAGGTTTCTGCGAGAGCAGGATGCAATGTTAAATAAATTTCGCCCGGCGCGGCGTTAACGCGGCGATAATCTCGTTTTACACGAGACTCCGAAAAATTTTACGGCGATACAAATTAGATAGTAATCTCGCATTACGCCATTGGTGTAAGCGAGTACGTAGCCACTATCTTCATGTCGAAGATTCTCGGAAGAACAAGAAGAAGAAAGAGTAACAACAGCAGAAAGCGAAGAAAGGGACGAAGACAAAAACGCGAGCGCAATAAAAGGCTGAAGGAATCTCCTATTATATCTCCCGTCGTCTTGGAATGCTTGCTAGAACGTGCGTGACTCGCCACCTGCTCGCTATTGGGAATTCCATTCCGGCAGGAAGAAACGGAGAACTACGCGAGAAGAAAACGGCCCGTTCGAGGTATCATCGAAACCACGCCGCAGACTTCGTTTGTCCGACGATGCGGTTGAACTTACTCGATCACCAGTCCCTCCTTTCGTCGCGTCATCTTCGCTGACTAGCTGCCCGTCTGATGGCAACCGAAATGGACGGGACTCAACGGGACGGGACCTTCTTTTTCTGCGTCTTGAGAAGTGGTAGCGCGCGAGGTTGGCGCTTGTACGTCAAACTCGCGGCCACTACGGTCCCGTGCCGTTCCATTGAATCGTATCTGTCAATGGGGAACAATATGGTGGCAAGAAAGACCGAGGAGGAAAAGGACCCCGTGTACTGGAGTCCGCGAGCAGGAGAGAGAGAGAGAGAGAGAGAGAGAGAGAGAGAGAGAGAGAGAGAGGCGAAGGGAGAGAAGCTGAGCCACCGAACGCGCGCCTCGGCAGCCTCGACTAAGTTATGCAGATTGTTCCGAACAGTTGGACTTTAATGTCGGCATAAATCCTTTGCCACTTAACTTTATACGTGGATGGTTAGAATGCGTTCCCGTCCTCTCGACGCGGTTGAACTCCTCTCTTCTCTACTCGCTTACTAACTTTTCGACTCGTCCCTCTCCTCTTTATTCTAGATACCGAATTCTTTTTGCAAACTAGAATCTAACTTTGAATTTAAAATGTGTCAGGTTTTTTGCGTTAGAAGCGTCGATCTGGCCTTGATTGCGCCTATTTACAGAACACAGCCGCGTTTTTTTAAATATCTACAAAAAATTCACATATTGTACATTTGAAAATAATTGAAAGCGTGTAATTTAGAGTGCAAAGTTTCACTACAAATGCTTTGAAGCGTTTGATTGATCAAAGTCAGAAGAAAAAATTTTAATAATTGACTAATCAAAGAATGCTTCAAAACATTCGTAGCATCACGCATAATCACGGTTTAATAAGATAGGTGTAACATTACCGTGGGTGCGTAGTAGGAGAGTGAATTTAAGCCCAAATTTAATTGGCCATTCTAGTTTACTACTGCTATTATATGCAGAAAGATGCATTTGGGCCCAAGTTTGATTGGTTGTTTCCAGTATTGCTACCACCATTATGCGCAAAGTTATACCAGTCTTATTATACCATGCATGGCTATTACTAATCATAAAACTCTTAGTGAATCTCATATTGAAGAATGAATCTCATTCTTAAAGATTGAAAATTAAACCACTCTTTTTTCAAGATTGGCACAATTTTCACTCTTTAGAATTAGATTCCACTCCAAAGATTTTCGTTTCAATTTTATATAATTTTTTCGCAATGTCAATTTCTTAAATCTTGCTTTCTATTCTATCATTTATCATCCAATTTCTGATAGTATTTACAGTAGCTTTTGCTGATCTGAGAAGAAATAATTTCAATATAGTATTAACACAATAATATATCAGTACAATAAAAGTAAATATTTCAATTATTCATCTAATTTTATTTTTCTCCCCGCACAGCATGCAGCCTGTCCGCTACATCTTCTTCCTCCTGTCACGTGGGCGACCTTGAGAGAAACGAATCATCATAAAACCCATTGAATTTCGAGAGGGAGATAGACATTCACGAGCCAACGACCACAACGAAACCCGAGCTATCGTCATCGCGGGTGAAACCCGAGATTGTATTTGTTGACAGGATTATCGTATAGTAGATACCGTGATGCTACTGTCGACGATCAGCTATCCTAACGAGCTCATCTTTTCCATTCCATGTTGTAACGCAATGTGACCGACCGCCTTTGATCCCAGATAGAGCTACGGGATGATGAACAATTCACGTTGTCGCAAAGCGGAAATAACAATTTGCGATTGCAGAGTCAGTTTGCCTGGCTCGCGAATGGATACTACTTGACACTTGATATTGTCGAGTGCCCTAAGAAACCACTCGTTTAACTCGTAACGCTATACAGCGAAATCTGATACGTAGAAAAGAAACTAAACATTCAGATACTTAGTCGACAGAATGATAACTTTATATTGTAACTTTATCGTTGATAAAAAATATCTGTCTTACATAATTGATGACATTTCAACGATTAGCCTGAATAAAATAAAATGTAATTAACTAATTAATTACTGTTATGCACAAATATAGATATTTTTGCATAGCAGTAATATTTCAATAGATTAGATTCTTATATAGATACCATCCGTAGATAAAAATAGGAAAAAATGCAATCATGTAACATTACTGCGCCGCATATAGAAATTTAGTAATTAAGAGAGAAGCACCTGAATAATAATAAATTGATATTCCATTATTGTTTGGCTAAACGTCTAGATATTTATCTCTCAAAACAGTCGGTAACATTTTGCGTTCTCTAAGGATCAAATCATCAAATGTATGCATAAAGAAAATTATCTCAATCGCATTTTACACATATCGATTATGTTAAATATAAAATTTGGCTGTACTGACAATGTATTTAATAAAAGTATTTTTATTCAATAAAATTATTAAATATAAAAATACTTTCATTAAATATATTGTTAATATAGTGAAATTTCTTATACTCTGCCAAAAGAAAAAAAAAAGTTCTACTGGATTGTTTAGCGTTCGCGGCATTTTGCTCAGAGCCTTTTGTATATTTTACGTATACTTATTTGACTTATTTCTTCGCCACACTTTACTGCACTTAACTGCGCAGACTGCGCGTCCAGCTGATAGCGCCGACCGCGCATGAAGGAACAGATGGCGAGCCGGTTCCCCACTTTGTGACGTGCAACATGGCGACGAGTACTTTCGGCGGGAAACATGCCTCTTGGCAGTCTTGGCCAGCGTCTGTTGTTTGTCGCAGTTCGTCATCATCGAGCAGCTTGTGTGTCTACGACGCGCGTTTCTCAACGAGTTTTAGTGTCACATGAAGAATATTACGGAAGATATAAGAAGCGACATAAAGGTACCTTGACGATAACCTCAAGAAGTTACGCACTGCCTACATAAATCAATAAGCTGCTGCTGTAAAAGGGAGTTCAGTCAGCATCGAGATAATTACTATAGGTATTAATTATGTATGCCTTCCAACAAGCGACACAGTGCGACACAGTGATTATGTCATCTTTGTTTAACATTGGTAAACAACAAGGATGTAATGATCTATTGTGTCACACCGTGTTATTTGTGTCGCTTGTTGGAAGGCACACTATGATATCCAGATCACGGAAACACTTTGTGTCTTGTAAAACGCAATAAGCTACAACGACCAGTATGAAAGCTGATTTAGTATATGGATTGTGTTTAATTGATTGGCAGCTCCTCAAAAAATTTATTATTAACATCCATTAACGTCGCCCTATGACAATATAAAATTAAAATCTTACGCAATTAGCTTACATTAGAAATAATGTATTGTTTCAGCAAAAAACAGTTGTATCATGGAAATGCTTCACAACAACCCATTCACAATCTGTATAGAGGGAAATATCGGAAGTGGTAAAACAACGTTCTTGAATCACTTCCAGAGCTTGAATAATGCTACAATTTTGCAAGAACCAATGGAATTGTGGCAAGACGTGGCTGGAATAAATTTATTGGTAAGCTCTTTTAAGAATAACATATTTTTAGGGGATCCATACATATGTCCACTGATATAAGAGATCTACAGTTTAACGCCGGATCTAAACCGCGCTGGTGATCAAAGATCTCTTAATCATCAGATGGAGTCATTTTCGGCTCTTTAAACGCGAAAAATCGCGTATATGGGCGTAGATGGGATTGAACCTACAGATTGCAAGTCGTACTGAGCGGCAAACCATTCGACGCCTCCTAATATAAAACTATCTGAATGAATATTTTCTGATATGAATGCATTAATACCAAAACAAAAATAAACACTGATAATATTTTTAGGATCTTTTCTACAAGGACCCAGTGCATTACGCCTTCTTGTTTCAATCGTACGTTCAGTTGACTAGACTACAGTTACATACGATGGCTACACCATCGCCCTATAAAGTTATGGAAAGGTCCGTGTTTAGCGCAAGATGTTTCCTAGAAAACATGAAGCGTACGCACATGATACAGGATGTAGAAGCGATAGTTTTAGAAAATTGGTATGATTGGTGTATGGAAAACACGAATATAAGGGCAGACTTAATAAGTATATATCTCTATCAATTAAGCAAAAAGATTTTTACATAAAACATGACTTTCTCCTTTCATTAAACTGTACTTTTTACTGTAATTTAGTATATCTAAGGACAACACCTGAAGTCGTATTTCAAAGAATGCAAGCACGTGCACGCAAAGAAGAGGATTCTGTGTCGTTGGAATATTTGAAACAAATTCACGAAATCCACGACGACTGGCTCTATAGACAAACTCTATTTTCTTTACCGGCGCCGGTTATGATCATAGACGGTGACAAAAGTCTCGAGGAAATGGTGCCACAATTTGAGAAATGTAAAGACCGTATATTCAACGAACACATTGATGGCACAACAAATCCCAGAATCGTATTAAATATTAAAGCATAATACAGGTTATTTATGCTAATATTATGTTTATTTTAGAATGGATTGATTATATGATAAGTATTTTTTTCATAACTATATACATATAAGCAAAGTCTGTTTGCGTTGCTTGCATTTTTTGCATTTATTGCCAGAATTTTTACTTTGAGAAACACTTAAACATATATTTATCTCGTTTTAAGTACAAAAATTTTCAAGTATTTTAAGCAATGTGAACAGACTAATATTGTCTTGTTCTATTATTTCATAAGTTTAAAAACTTTCAAGATTCACAATAGCATGGTTCTTATGACTTACCTTCGGAGACTGAAATGATACTGTGTTTCGGGAAGGTAGGCTGATTGTCATTGACGTCGATTACCCGTACGCTCAATGCAGCGGTGCCGGTTAATTGGGGGTTTCCTTGGTCAGTTGCGATAATAGTCAACCTGTACTTCTCACGGATCTCACGATCTAGGACTATATTGGTCCGAACGACTCCGCTGTATGGTGGACTTATTGTGAAGGCATTATCTGGATTACCATCCACAATATGATATAAGATTCTACTGTTCAATCCTTGATCGGCATCACTTGCTGAAAGCTACGACAGCAAGTATTGACATATAAATTTATGCGTTCAACACAATATATTTATTATATTATCTATTTTTATATCTAAACTTTATTAATATAAGACAAAAAAGTACAAATAAATACATTTGCACCTTTGGATTCTAATTATATGTCATATTTCTTTTAAACTCTTTCTTAAATCCTTTTGTAAAAACAATTTCCTCATAGATTTTCATATCATATATGATTCGTACTTTAATTGTAACGTATTAAATACAAAGGCAATATAAGATAGTAAAAAGTTTCCTCACCTTCACGACGAAATCTCCTTTGATATTGCCCTCGAGTACAGTAGCCGAGTATTGTGTTTGCGTGAAGATTGGTGGATTATCGTTGATATCGGATATCCTGATAATTACTTTGACGTATGCTTCCAGAACCTCGTGGCTCCTTGCTATCACATTGAGAATATGCTTTGAGCTTTCTCTGGGTATCTCCTTCGACTGCTGCCCTTCCAAGGATCTGCCCCACGAATTTGTGCGCCCCGTGTCACCCGGCAGTTCGTTATCGGATTTTACCGTCAAGTCATTCCAAAGCTCCGCGTCCAGCCTGGTAGGATCATTGACGCGTAACAGACCAGTGTCTTCGTCAATCGCAAAGGTGTTGTAGTCGTTTCCGGACGCGATCGAATACGTGACACGCTGTTTCCTACCATCGGTACGTACCGCGGTGATTTTAACTATCTCCGTGCCAGCCGCTGAATTTTCCTGAATGACGACGTTGTATGTGTCATTCTGAAATTTCAAGCTGGGCGTCAGGTCTACGAGGTGGCCGACTTGAAGCTCGATCAAGCCCTTAGCGCTCTTCGGCGGATTACCCTTATCCTGGGCCAACACCTCCAGGTAGTACGTCTTGCCATTATCTTGCGATAATGATAGGCTTGCCGTTACTTCGCCGGTGCTAGGATGTATTCGAAATTTCGGTTTCTCCTGCTCGTTTATCAACGAGTACACGATATCACCGTTTACACCGTCGTCAACGTCTTTGGCTGATACCCGGAGAATGTTCTGACCCGGTTTCGTACTGATGGGCACGCGTGTCCGAAAGGGGTACTCCTCGAAAATTGGCGCGTTGTCGTTTATATCGCTGATGATGATCTCGACGGGTATCGATGTGCTTTTCGCATCATACATGCCGCTGTCCGTGGCAACCACGAGGAAGGTATAGTTGCTTTGACGTTCACGATCCAATGGGCTGTATCGAACAGGAAGAAACATACATTAATTATAGAATAATAGGCTTATCGCAATCACAAAATTGAGAAATAAACAGTAAAAATATTAATTCAATAAAAAGAGACACATTGTAATTTACTTTCTTTAGAGTTCTAATTTAATAGAATTCAATAGAATACATTAAATTAATAGTTTTACTTATTAATAAAAATTACGATGATTGTTATTTTCAACAAAATATTTAGATAAGTATTTTGTTTCTACGTTAATAAAACATTATTAGAGATCACAAGAAAAGTTATTAGAAAGAATTCTGATTTAGTCTCACAATATCGTACCTTAAATTAATTTTCTTAAAACAATGCTATTAGGAAGTTACGCAAATGCAAGTCGAGCAAGCAAGAGAAGTTCCCAGCGTGCCTTCGCGATACAACGTAACGCTCGCAATAATTCTTAATAAGCGTGGGATAATGATCGGACGTCGGTAGTGCACGAGTTCGATACGCTTATTTACGATTGCGCGAAGCTAACTCGAATACTCTACAGTTATCTTCCGCCCTAATATCTGCTGACTGTAACTCGAAGTATGCAGTATGAATCTCTATCACATCTGAACAGAATGACAGTTGCAAGAAATGTTTCATTTGAGAATGATTCAAGGAATGCGAGTATTTTTTTATTTCGCGATTGATGTTATCGCACAATTAATAAATAAATGAAACACAAGTGAATTTATATGAAAGACACGTGGGTAGATGTGACGGCTAATTTCGCACTTCGATTACAGAAAATTTGTTGATACATGATTTCTGTAAAAGATGATTTGCTAAAGTATCTAAAAAATTGTTCTTCTTGAAATATACAGGGTGTTTCCAAATTAAATGGCAAAACTTCGGGAGCGTGTAGAGGAGTAAAAAACTAAGAAAAAAAGTCCTATAGACATATGCTCCTTTTTGCTTTGTTTCGCAGGAAATCACGAAAAAAGAAAAAAATATATTTAATTTATTATTTTAATTATTTTATTTATAAACTTTTTAATGAAGATTTTGTTCGAAATGTGCACCTCTTGCAGCAATACAAGCATTGCATCTGTCAAACACGGCTCTTGTAGCAGCCAGGCCTTTAAAGCATTACCGTTGCAGAAACCGTATACAAAAACCATATCAGCATATTCACTATTAGAATACGTACGCGGCATATTGCAAAAGACAAAATTCATCTACTATTAAAGGCTTTCAAAGAGCGACTGACAAATTCATAACAGAAAGTGGAAAATGTAATCAAATATGTCGGTGCTAGATATGGCAAGAAATATAAACATTTTTTTTCGATTTCTCTGAAACGGAGCAAAAACGAGCATATGTCTATAGGACTTTTTTTCTTAGTTTTTTACTCCTCTACACGCTCCCGAAGTTTTGCGATTTAATTTGGAAACACCCTGTATATGCATGATTCTTTCATCAGAAGAATTCCTTATCTATTCCTTCCTTGTCATATACAATAAAAATAATGTTGTTGGATCATCAAAATAATTACATAGGAAGCTCAAGCATGATGAGCAATGCAGATTTTGCAATGATTGTAAAAAAATGTTGACATTCTAGAAATCAGTTTGAGCGTCTTACAACACATTATTTTGATGGTCCAACAAAATTATTTTCAGATCTGTATCTAGCTACAAAATTAGATTAATAGTTATTCGAATCAAATTTAATTTACCTATGAGATTAATATTATTTCAGTTTGTGATTGTATTGCAAATCCGAAAGTAATCAGGAATAAATGTATTTAAAATCGATTACATATAGAATTATTATTTCAACTAATTTTGACTGCAGTTGGCGCTTTTTATTTAATCTTAGTTTATATCTAAATTTTTAGATATTTCAACAAAACCGTCTTTTCCGTATAATATCGTCTCAGTGTTCTTTCTATCAGTTCGCACTATTTATCAAATCATTTTAAATGAGAACTGATCCTCGTTTAACCCGTATATTGTCTCTACCGGGTGGTCTCCAGAGAAAGCAAAAGAAGGGAGAAGTGTTCCGTACCGAGAGGTGCTGCAGAACGACGGTGCGGCTTTCAAAAGGTAAGAGGAACGAGACCGTCGTCGCAAGAGCAACGGCAATAAGGCGACACGAAAGTCGGGTCCACGGCTACTGATCGAGCGAAGAGGATACCAAAAACAGAAGCGGGAGGAGAAAGAAGAGGCGGAGGAGACGGTGAAACGAGACGACCGGACAGTGGCCGCGGCGAGAAAGGGTAAAGAGAGAATGAGAGAGACAACGAAAGTGAGAGAGATGCGGCGAAAGAGTAGCTCGAACCGAGATCTGGTTTTGCATATCAGGCATTTTGCCGGCTGAAATAATGCATTGAAATGCCAGATGGAGTCTCGCTGAAATGACACACGGCTGTCGCGACGCAAAAGTATGCACCCCCCTAGCCTCCTTAGTCCTTCCCATGGCTACCTACCCCCCCCCCCTCTCTCTCTCTTTCTCTGTTTCTACACTGTCAACTGGCGCCTGTTCTCCAACATTTCGCAGTCCTCCCTGTGTTCGTATATCCTGCAAAGCACCCACTCATCTCATCGGTAATCGGAAGCAAAAACAACAAAAGGCGGAAGCGAAGGCGGCGGAAGAGCAGATACAGTTAAGCAAAATCGTAAACTAAGATTGGCACCGAGGAGAAAGGGGTAGGAAAGGGGGATCAACTAATTGCCAGGATTAAAGTACGAATCGTGAGTCACCGAGACGGACGTTGGGCGTGTCGGTCATGCGGGTTTACGGCGACTCCGCATAATAATTTGCAACGAACAAATTATACATTCCCGGCGTGGAAGTGATTTATCGAAATCATTCGGTTGTGTCGTCTTCAGAGGCAGGTCGCCGGACACGACGACACGAGGGCAGACGACTCTAATCACCGTGAAACTCTTACGCGACCATATAACTGTCCACCTATAAAAGTTAATGTTTTGTATATAAAGGCTCGGTATTGAATTCGATTCCGCGAGGTTTGCGTGCAATTAGCGTTTGAGAGTTTTCCACCGTTCGTACACCGAGACCATAATCGAGCGATTAACGATCATTGATCAGCGTGCTCCATTGGACCAAGGTTCGCGGTAGCCCGCAGCGAAATCGTCCATTAATTAACGAACTACGACTTTGCTGTTTGGTGGGATGGACGGAAGCCACGGAAAGTCTTCGTCTTAACGACATCCCAAGATATCGGTTTATTGCGTGTGTAATCATAAGAAACACACACGGACCGAGAGAGATGGACGAAGGACCGAGAAAGAGACAGATAGATAGAAAAAAGAGACGCAGGAGAAAAAGGAAGGAAGAGTAGTATCTCGAGTTGTGCCGACGGGTTATGCATACGGAATCATTTAATCGGCCATAGTGCGTCGTTCGTGAAGCGCATCGACTGACTTTATAATTTTATGACTTTCCTAGACTGCGCCGCTCCTTCCTCCTCCACTGCCTTCGAGCGTCGAGCTTTTTTCACTGCGAGCTGACTGACTGCTCCTTCCTACGTATACGAATGCGTATGTGTGTATGTGTGTGTGTGCGTCCTTACTTTCCGTTTTACGACGTTATACCGGCGTAATATCCCTCTGGGTGATCCTAATCGGATGTGTAATAAAGGTCGCGGTAATTAACGCCAGGATGAAATTAGTCGGTTGGTAGCCGAGATCGCAAAGCGAAACTCGCATGCGATCTAAAAGAAAAGAGAAAGAAAGAGGGAGAGAGACTGAACAAAAGACCTTAGAGAAAGAAGGAAACAGAAAAAGGTCAGAAGGGAAGGAAACGATGACAATGACAGAGGGTAAAAAAGAGAAGGGAAGCCGTATGTAAAAAAAAGCCAATGACGGGACGTGTGCACTCACCCAGCTGTAGTAACAACGCCAGTCAGGTTGTCGACCCTGAAGAGCCAGCTAGTTTCTTCGGCGATGGCGTATGTAATCTTCCCGTTTACACCTTGATCTGGATCAATCGCCTTTACGGACAACACGCTCGAATCCGGCGGGACGTCCTCTGAGATAGTTGTCATATACTTTGAAGGATAGTAATTCGCTGGATAGTCCGATGATCCGTATAGGAAACCGCTGTTCAAATTCTGCACGAAAATCGGAGCGTTGTCGTTGATGTCTAGCACGATCACGGTAAGATTGCAGTACGCTTCTCTGCTCGGTCTTCCCTTATCCTTGGCCGAAATCGTTAGCACGTACTTGGGCACGTTCTCACGATCCAGATTCAACATCGACAATACACCGGTAGATGGATGTAACACGAATTTGGCGCCGATGTTGCCGCCTGAAATGAAAAGCGCAAAGATTAAAATCAATCATAATCGATTTTTATATTTAAGACTGTCTTAAGTATAATCTTAAGATGTTATGAACCAATCAGAAGAGTCGTATTAGTATCTTAAGATATTATTTAAGTCTTGAATTTTATTTACGCGATTTTTCGCATACTGCATCTAGTGGAACAACTCACTTTCGATACTGTAGAAGATTTCGCCGTTCTTTCCATCATCAAGATCGGTAGCAGCTATCACGTGGATCACAGAAGTTTCCTGATTTTCCGGTACGGCGAGGGTGTAGCAAGAACCCGGTCGAAATTCTGGACTATTATCATTCTCATCCATCACTATAACTTCCAGAGTTGTGACGTCCAGAAGCTTGTTGGACCTCGCCAAGATAGAAACTGAGTAATGCGAGACTTCCTCGCGATCCAGGGGACCCCGAAGAGTGACTTGACCATTGGACGATATGGCGAACTTGTTCGAAGCTACGCCGTTCGGGATGCTAAAGGTGACGTTATCTATGCGAAACAAAATAAGAAGTTAATCAACGTGTACTTTTATTAACTAAAAAACGTGTGCATCAGTTATAAATTTCACAGAATTATTGGGAACTAAGAAATATCTCTATATAAACATTTAATTCGTTATCTTCCAACATTTGATCTTTTCATTTTTTTTCTTTCGCCCTGCTATTTATTTTGTTAATTCCTATTTTTTTCATAAATAAATCACTATTATATGCATTTTTATTTAGATTTTATTTATATTCCATCTAGTTCATATTCTGTTCTATATATAATTGTCTATTTATCATGTTTTCATTTTGCTATCTATACTTTGTACTCTGAATATTTTTGCGTTTTTTGTGTTTTCACTGTTAAACTCTGAAAAGAGATATTCAATATTCAAAGAACATATTTATATATATTATATTATTTATCGTGTAATTTATTTACTCTAACACGAAGAAGGAAACTATTATCTTATCTGCAAATCCAGCGGCTTCGCGACATGCGATTTTCCTATTCGAGCACGTCGTCGCGTCGGTGACTTTAATGCTTTCGTTTTTCGAATTCCAGCGCGCTTAGCCCATGCTCGTCGGATTTTTAGCGGACTTAGAACAAAGCGACGCGATTTAGTGTATGTATACGTATGCACGTGTCGCATCGTGGCCATCCTTCGTCTTGTTTCCAGTAAGTAGCGACATGTCGTGTGCGTGTATGCGTGCACACGCGAAACCGCGCGATGGTATGGAGTCCGGTGATTTGCCTATGCGGCAGGCCGGCGGCACGATGATATACGCGGCCATTGTTTCGCTTCGTCCTCTCTCTAATCCCCCTGCCTTTCTGCGTTCTGCACTCGCTCCCGCATTTCGCAACAACCTCCCCTCTATGCATTACTGAGCCGCCAATCCCCGAAGGACCGGCACCTTCGGCGCACCCTTGAGACGCGCTAATGCGCTCGTCCGGCATCGTGATAGATAAGCGGCGAACCAGAGATACCGTGTTGTCGGCAGAGCCGGTTTATCGCACTTTAACCGTTCGTCAGACTGAAACGGGCTGGATCGGGTGGCTTCCCGTGTTAGACGGAAGTGTGCGGATTTAGCGTGAAGAAATGATGCGCGAAATACATTCCAGACACGGAAGGAACGGTTTTGCTGGGGTATATAAAAATTTAACTATATAAATATAGATCTGAAAACAATTTTGTTAGATCAAAATAATCATATAAGATATTCAAACTGAGCGGCAAAACTTGTGGCAGTTATTCATTCTGCTTGAGATAATTACCATCAATTAATTTACAATTATTTTCAGGTCTGTATCTAGATAAATTTTTAGATACTTCAGTCAAATTTATTGTCTTTTCCATGTAGTGACCATTGCAGAAGATATGTGTATGTAAGTCTAGCACTGGTTTCTGTAACTTTTAATAATAGTGTCGTTATAGTGTCGCAATTTCTTTACATTATATAATATTTACATAATATAACGATTTGAATATTATTGTCAAAGTCCATGACACACAAAAAAACTTAAGCAATAAAACATAAGCAGTAAACGAATTGGTCAATTATATCGATTTTCTTACTGCTTACATTTTCTTGCTGAAGTTTTTTTTGTGTGCTATGGTCATAAGAGTTACAGAATCCCATTGCAGGTGTAAAAATACCAGTAAACGTAGCGTTTATCAAATTCTGGTGTCATAATTGGCATTTTACCGGTTTTCTCGCATAATAAAAAAAAATTAGATTAATATGAATACACGAGGCACAATTATATGTCGGATAAACGATTTCCTTCGAGAAGCGCGTCTTTTCCTCCTGAATATCGGACTTCTCGCGGTTAATATATGACGTGGAGTCGTCTAGTTACGCACTCGCAAGACTTTTGCAATGATAATTAGTGGCATCATCAGATCGCTAATTCCGCGCGTCTCACAAAAGATGCAACAAGCTTTGTCATAAATAACGCGAACGAGCTCGTTTGAAAACTGCTCGTTATCGCGTTTTTCAAGGGAGAAGAATCTGAGGACGCATTTCTCGACGAAAACGACGGTATATTCTACGGGGCGAACAAATCTCGGGATTTTCTCGACTGGTGCAAACTGCGACTTGCTTTTTAAAGCGTACGCGCAAGGAGAAGATACAAACTGAGGTCCGACCGCAGCGGGATACTTTGGATAAAACGACAACGTTGCCGGCGTACTCCGACGGAATCCGCGCAAGTCATTTCGTTAAATTTATTGTAATGCTCGGTACTGACCAGATTCGAGGCAATTAAGTATTCCAGGTATTTTCGTAGCAGGGTTTTCCTATTAGCTGCGACGAGCGCGGCAACGATTATGCGACACTGTGTGCGGTGTGTAGGTGGTGTGTGCTGGGCGGCAAATTACACATACTATCTATGAAGACTCGCTCAAAGAGAAAGAAAGATGAAATCGCATCCTCAGAATGCGAGTGAGATGTCTGAGAAAAGTACGAGAGACAGCAAACTGTAACTTCAACCGCGACCGCCCTACATGCCATTAAGTTGACAGTCCCAATTAAGTTTGCACCAACAGGGACTTTACGCACCATCGAAAACAGTAACAACGCAGTGCCTAAAAGTATTTTCGTTACGCTTTAGGGATCGATAAGTTTCTACTGTTTACTTTGTTTTTCACGATGCCGTAAATATGCAATTACATTGTTTTGCTCGAGATAATAAATTGGAAATCCGTTGGAACTGATTCGATAATATTATTAAACTTTGTATTAGTCGTCGCAATGTGACAAATTTTAGTTTAACTGGCACACAGTAGAGACATAGCGATGAGATCTTTGGTCTTACCTTGATCGGCAATTGCTGGTCCTGCAACGTTCATCACATGCGATCCGACGTGGAGATTTTCGGAAATCTTAACAATCGGATTAGGCAACAATAGCCGAGGAGGTCCGCTCGCTTGTGCCGCCACCGGATTCAGACTCAGGTTCAGCGTAGCCTTGCGGAATGGTGTTCCGTGATCGTTGGCCGTAATCTCGACATTCATGGGCTCCGTAATGGGCTTCACAAGGGTCACGATGCCCGACTCGTAACCCATGATGAGTCGCGTTTCCTTATTGTCCGAGGTTATCACATAAGATATTCGACCGTTGTCGCCAAAGTCCTTATCTACAGCGACGACTTTTACTACGCTATCACCTGGTAAAATTAAGAAAATAAGAATTTTATTAATCATCCTGTTATATGAATCTGTAATACACATAGCTCAGATATGAAATTTACCAGGTAGAAGATTCGATGGGACATTTATCTTGGTAAATTCTGGCGCGACGAAGACTGGATCATTGTCATTCTCATCAAGAACGATGATTTTTGCGGTGACCGTGGAAGCTAGTTGCTCTCCTGGTAGTGCCCGGTCCGATGCTTTGAGGATTAAAGTGTGCTGCATTATCTCTTCCCTATCCAATTGCTTGGCCAACGTTAAAGCGCCAGTTAAAGAATCCACGGTGAAGCAACCCTTCGATGGAAACTCGGCTACGAGACCGTATCTAAGTTCGCCATTCAAGCCACTATCCAGATCACTGGCTGTGAGGTTGTAAATGGTTGAGCCAATTGCTGTTGTTTCGGACACGAGAACAATTATCGGATCCTGCGGCCAACTCGGTGGATTATCGTTGGCATCTTCTATAATGATCTTCACGGAAACGGCGATGCTTTGAGGATTCCCGAGTGAGGTTGTGTCTAATGCACGAATCTGCAGGTGATATTCGCTTACATTCTCGCGATCGAGCGAGTGGGCGACTACCAGCTGGCCTGAGCTGCGATCGACGTCGAAAGCTGGAAACTCGCTGATTGGCGTCAGCGAGTCCAACGTGAAAGCCACGCGACCTGCAGGACCCGCTCCCGAAACTGATCCCACTGCATGCCCGATACTTGCATCCTCGCGCACCTGAATGAATCGAGTATACATTATTAAATTCACTCCACTTTATTCTGGTATTATGAAAATATTGTCTTTTATGAAGATAATTTATGTATATTGATTGAATCTGAGGAAATGTCATGTACTAATAAAACTAGAATGAATATTTTGTATATTTATTTGTTACCCTCTCTCTGTATAATCATATTTCTATATTCCCTCCGTCCAGCCGAAGTTTTTTTACTAGTCTCGGTTTTCAAAAAATGAGGAAACATTTATGATTACTTTTCAACATCTATATTATATTACGAAATAATTTTTTAACAAGATATTTTAAGAGGAGAAATTGGATTCTGTCCTTCTTTATTTCAGAGAAATTTGGGAATAAAATTTGCTTGAGTAAAAAAATATCTAGACTGCAAATGCAAGGTTAATTAATAAGAAAGAGATAAAAAATATTAAGTTATTAAAACATATATCTTTCTAGGAATTAAATGGAAAAAATTAAATGTTTAATTCAATGACTAATAACAACGAAGATCGTAAGATCGCGATAAAATTTCAATCTCCCATAGAATTTTCTACAGAATTTCTAATGTGGCATAAATTGTACGAAGCTAGCTCCACAGGAAACGCACGTAACAACAGCGGCGAGACGCCGTCGGAGGGATGTTAGCGCGATCATAAATGTTCTAATGAATAATTGCAAGAGGGAACTATGAAGATCCACGACGTCCAGCGAAGTTATAAGAGAATTTTCTTTTAAAATTTACCCTGAAAATATGGTAGTTGTGATACAATACAATATTTTAAAGATTTTTACCATGCACTTCAGTAAAATTGATCAAACTTATTTTATACTTTATTGCAGTTTTATTAATGAATGAAAGAAATTTACATTAAAATTCTTCGAAATACAATGTTGTCCCACGACTGTCATATTTTCAGGGTAAACTCTAAGAAAAAATTCTCTCCATATAGAAACAAATTTGATGGGAAAATGAATCCTACTGGGTGGCGAGGTCAATAGTACTCACGTTAAAGGTAAGACTGCTGCTGGTGAAGGTCGGCCGGTTATCTGCAAGTGCCAGAACTTCGACTCGCAACACGCGCTCGCTGTGTCGCGGTGGATGACCAGCGTCGGTTGCCCTTACGGATACCCGGTATACGTTGCGCTCCTCGTGATCAAGCACGGCCTTGGTCCTGATCATACCGGTGATCGGGTCGATGGTGAAGACGTTGTAGCCGTCCGAGTCTCGATCTGTAGCGAAAAACGAAGTCAGGTCCGAACAGAAACATTCTCCGTGAGACGGACGAACAAAATTACGCCTGAGCGATTATTCTTGCTGTTACAAACTTGAACGCGGGAGAGCACCCGGTATAGAAAAATTCTTTGATATCTGTGCCATTGACTCCGAGGAGAATCGTGTACGTGAAATACGCGCTGCGATAGAACACGGGATGAAATGCTTGACATGGACGGGAAGAGGTACATCCTCGACAATATTACAGTATCTCCCGCGATGCGATGTAAAGATTTAATCTCGTGATTAAGATTCTTTTCTCGCCGTCTAGTACGAGCCATCATGAAAATTCGATTCTGATCGTAACCGAAGTGGACCAGCACGCGTGGTAACGATTCTTCATAAGCGGCGAAGTGTATCGCTAGCGAATAATACGCCCGGCAAAAACGCCCGCGACTCCTTTTAAGACCGCGCATAATTGTTTCTGTAATTGCTACTGGGTTATTAAAGCCTCAAAAAGTGCTTGCTCTACCTTAGGAGAGTCAAGAGCGACCGGTAAAAAAACCAAGTCCGCCGTCTAATCTCCGGCATGTAAGTACTCTCTCGCTATTTCTCTATTATTCTTGACTCTCTGCGACTCAGCCCGACGCCCTCGTAACGAAGCTAGGCAATTATTGGCTGCGTACACATACACCCGACTAATTGTAATTTATATATTGTATTTTCTTACCGGGATAATCGTATCGGAGGCAGAAGTGCAATTTCCTTAATTAGACGAGCAGCGCGTAACGGATAATAAAAAAGGAGAGAAACAATATATATCCTCTAAAATCTTTTATAGAGTAAATCTTACTCTAAAGAATGAAATCTCACTCTTGAAGAGTGAAAATTGACTCAATCTGTCTCAAAACTGGCTCAATTTTCACTCTTTAGAGTGAGATTCCACTCCAAAAAATTTAGAGAAGGTGTTAAAGAAAATTATTCACTATTTATGGTAGATTATCAGTATAACTGTATAATCGCCAAATCACATGTAACCGCAATCGACTGATTGATTGAGTTTCCGATCTATGTTCAATAACAAATAAGGCTTTCTCTACTTAGTGTGTACCTACTTTTACTATATAAATGCTGAATGAATTTTTTGAACACTCTGTATATATCACCGCGAGATTTAGACGTGAGATATAAATTAAAGCAATGTTAAACTCAACCGTTACCTTTCGGGATGCTGTACGTCACTGAGGCGTTTTCACCGAGATCCATGTCCAGTGCTCGCACCCTGGCGACCTCCGTTCCCGGTGGTTGCTCCTCCCTGACACTGACCACGTCCCCCTGGGGATCGACGATCTCAGGCGAATTGTCGTTGACGTCTAGGACCGTGACTTTCAGAGGCACTCTGGCAGCTCTCGACGGTGTTCCTTGATCTCGTGCCTCCAGAACTAGCTCGTGGACGCTTTTCGTTTCACGGTCGAGCGGCTCGCGCGTGGTAATCTCGCCTGATGGTTGCCGAGTGAAGGGGAAAGAGAAACAATTAATTTTCATTGCTCTTCACGAACAACGTGAGCTTATGGCTACTGCACACTGAACGCGATAGGCAATAAGCGATGAGCGATAGCTAATGAGAGCTCTGCTTTTCCGTCGCGAGGTTCGATGCGACGTCGCTCAAGAAGATCAGAATACCTTAAAGCTCTAGATATACCAAAGTAGCGCAAAAGTCCTCCATCTTTGATCTAATAACCGTATTATATTAAAAAAATTACTAAGTAAATATAATACTAAATTAAAGTAAAAATTATTAAGTAATAATACTAAGTGGTTATTGGACTACAGCCATCAGATCAAAAATGGCAGTTGAAATTGCCAATAGAAAAGCTATCGGCATTTCGGCTTAGATAAAAGGATTGCGCTACTTTGATATATCTAGAGTTTTAATTAGCAATTTCCCACAGCGCTGTGGGTAGTCTATTAACGGATGTCGAGGAATATTTACGGGCACGCGACAAAAAGCTCCATATCGATTCTTGATATTAAATGCTTAAAGACTTTGAGTTCAATGGATCTTACGTGCCGACTCTCAAGCATTATTGAAGATCGCTTGAAAGAGTCTGGTAATAGTTACTAAATTTAATGTTAAATGAAATAATACCAATCAATGCCAATCAAATGATTAATATCGGTTAATACAATCAGTTAATATAATTAAAAATAATTTTACTTTTTTATAAATATTTAATAAATACTCAATAAATATTTAAGAAAGTAAAATTATTTTTTGTTATATTAACCAAAATTTAATTAGCATTATTTCATTCAACATTTGGTAGCTGTTACCAGATTGTTTTTTCAATGCAGACGGGGAAGTATCGATTCATTATAAAATCGAATATGTACGACTTCCGGTTGACGTCTCTCTTGTCGATTGCGCGGATGTGTAGACCAACCTTATCAATTACTCTCGTCAAGAACGGGTTAATTGGATAATTGTTGTTCGAACGCGAATAAGAACCATCTGTAGCGATTTGCTCGTACTTCTCGATATACCAGGAGTTTCATTTTTCGTTTCCGCTTTCGCTCTCTTTCTCTCTCTCTCTCCCCCTCCTTCCCCCTCTCTCTTTCCTCGCATATAATAATCATACTAGGGGCATACGTAGTCGCGCGTGTAACGAGGTCTGCCATAATTACGTATCGCAGAGAGTAGTCGGAGGAGAGAACGAGGATACGAATAAGAAAATGAGGAAGAGGCAGGAGAACGCAAGAGCACGGCGGGGTAGAAGAGGGAAAAGGTGGAATCGAAGCGCAGAAGGGATTCCCACTTCGATGCACGGTCGGTGTATTAATGGATAATTAAGCGAGCGACTAGTTGAGAAGTTGCCAGAACTATTCCAGGATCTGGGAAAAAGATCGGGATAATAATTCGTTCTCCCGAAACGACCCCTATCGATGTCCGCGTCGACGCCGGGCCTTGGCCTGGCGTGCCACTACGAATTCTCGACGTACCTAATCGAAAACCATCGCGACCATTCCGGCGTTCACTAGCGACGCGGTAGTTGGACGACGCCGCACTTCTCCATTCTCGACAAGACAAACGATCGATGGAGGACATGCAAACGCGCCGGCCGGCTGGTCGGGGATACCATCCGCACATTGGGGGATACCATCGCGCAACAATAAGAAGTATATCGTAGGACGCGTGCTAATGCGTTTCTCGTGTTAACCGTGGGACCGCGCAACCGATCTCACCGTCATTCTTGTAAGAGGAACGTGGTTTTTGTCTTTACGTGCCTCTTCCAATATTTGAAAATCCATTGCGATTGGATGTACGAGTCAAGGACCATGTCCCATGACGGCACGGTATCGCTTTCTCGAAAATCAAACAGTCGTTCGACGAATGGAAACGGTAGAAAATTCAACGCGAGGAATCCCAGACCGGGATTAGATCGAAGTTCTGCATCGTGGAACCTGCTCGACAACTTTGCAACCCTGCGCGTTGCTAAATTGCGGACTAGCTGAGCAACCTTATCTTTAATTTCATCACCGACGCAAAGCAACATACCAAATTATCGACGCGCAGAAAAGCCGCGGGGAAACGCCGCCAAGCACGTTTGCAGCTGGAAAATATATCGCTAAGTAATCTTAGATCTGATCGATATTTTTATATCACATGAGTAATTATAATATAAATCAATCACATAATCGTCATTCATTACGATACGATGTAAAAGGACAAATAGAACGTATTAAACAAAATGAGATTATCGAACAAATTTTTTTTTTCGCAGATTTTTCTCGCATAAAATCAATGCTACAAAGTGACCGCCACTTTGTAGCGCTACAGAAGTATTACATGCCTGGGGGTCAATCATGTAACTTTCTTACGATGGAAACGTGAAAAGTGAAAATTTGTTTTATGTATGTACGTGTATATGTAGGTACTCTATACATACATATATACATAAAAATTTTCACTTTTCACGTTTCTGCTTCTGAAGAAATACGGAGAAAAATGTAAAATAATATACACTTATAGATTTCTAGTAAATTTTATGGAATTGGCAGATTCATACAGTCACTTAAGCCTACGGCACACGATGCTTGTTTTTCTGCTGGATTCCTAGGTGGATTAAAATCTTGTCATCGTATTGGCTGTAGTACTGACAGTGTCAGCATCGTAACCAATACGAAAGCAAGAATTTATTTTACAATAGCTAACAATCCAGCAAGAAAACAAGCATCATGTGCCGCCGGCTTTACATAAAATTTACTAAATTTTAATAAATATTTGTTTGAATAATACTAACTAAATATATATTTACTAAATGTAAATATATATTTATTTGATAAAAAAAACCGTTAATTTGATTTAAGTATCATTCTTTTAATTGAATAAATATTTATTTATTGTAAGTAAACGTTTAGTTACTATTATTCAAACAAATATTTATTAAAATTCAGTAAATTTGTTTAGTGTCATATAGCCATAAGGTACATACTTTTTATATTTCGTAAAGTAAATCTATAAATTATCATATATTTCAATAAAAAAAATTGTCATTATATCGAGTATTTTTCATCTTAATGCTGGCAAAATTTACTTTATATCACGCGGTGAAAAATACAAGTGTGTAAAGTAAAAAGAGAATTATTCTCAAGCTTACAGTCTTGAGAATAATATGATTTACTTTATACTGTTAGATCATGAATGGCTTTACTATAATTGTAATGTATCTTTCATCTAACAGCTCCGGTATTTTTACTTACAGATAAGTAAAGTTTGTTATAAGTTCTTAAAAAATAACCAGAATATTTTTCTTCTCTCTAGTCTTGTAAGATAAAAATTACTCAACCATTTTCCTCCGTAAAAGGTTACATGATCAATATTCCGAAGTGAGCGTGTCCATGCCCGCACAGTATGGGCCACGTGGCGCAGATGGCACGTGGCCACGCTGCAACAGGTATCCGATCGATAGGCGAGTCGGTCACGGTAGGTCACGGAAATTCCTGAAGTCGCAATAATCGATCGTACCGCGCAATGGTTTGAAATGCATGGGACACGCAAGAATGTCACGCGTCGGAATACGCATCGCTGCGATTCGCGTCGGAAGAGAGGCGCGAGGTGACGGGATGCGACTCGGACATTTCTGATGAACGTCTTCAAGTCGTGCGGGAGAGGGGCATCGATTGCTAACGGCCCCTGATCACACCCGGTACATATTAGGAACCGGTTGAGTCGCGCTGACAATCGAATATTCCCTTACTTCTCGTCGCGTATCATCGCGGACAAGGGCGTGCCATTCCATAAATCACCGCCGGTCGATCTCCCGACATTGTAAGCCAACACGCGAGGGGCCGCCTTAATTGGATGAATGGAGAAAAGGGCGCCATTAAGCGAGTGTTACGGGGGCGACCTACGCGGAAGGAACGAAGGTGCTCCATCGCTCGAGGGTTTTCTCAATGGGAGATCTCGCGGTTAGAGCCGATCGAAGGACAATGGCCGGGCGAAATTTCAACTCACTCCGCCGCAGGTCCGTTGACCGGACAATGTGTAGTCGCGCTGCATGCAGCGGGGATTAATATAGAAGTACTCGTACGACAAGACAGCTGATACTTCCGGCAGCGCGATCGCCCCTACCTCCATCGCCGTCGTTATCCCTCATCTTTTTTTCTACTTCTCGATTCTCTCCGTTCGCACAGTCGGGATGACTCGAGAAGTCCCACCTCTGCAAACAGGCAGCGGATACGAAACGAAAGAAAGAGAGACGAAGAGACCCGGGCCTCGGACCGAGAGCGTGTACACAAATACCCCCGTGTCGCATGCCAATCAAACTGCGCGCATTGCACACGGCGGTGCACGCCGCATGCGTGTGCGCGTATTTCGCGGCGTGTGACGGGCCCCGGGCCCCGTTTCTGATGATTCGTTACACGCCGACCAGGCGAAAGCGCCACTCTTACCGGATTATGTTTTAATACTCACGAAGCACACACATATTGCTGCAACCTAAAATGAGCTATACGAAGATCCCGCAAAAAAAAAGAAACAATTCTCGTGTCGTTCTTCTTACTTCAACCTGGTAATTTGGTAAATCGCCATTGAGAGATATCGCGAGCTTAAACCTCGGCGGTCGTATTTGTAAAATGTTCGATTTATTTAACAATCATATTACAACGTTTAAAATGATGAAATATTATCAAAGGATTTCGAAATAGTCTGAGAGAAGCCTGGTGAACACCGAATAACGTTGCCCGGGTACAACGAATCCTTTCATCGATTACAAAATCGTTCAACAATGATGCGGCATAAAGGGTCATTGGGTTGACGTAAGAGCAACGCGTAAATTACACGCGCTGACGGCTCGTGGCCATTTAATACATTAACCTTTAGAAGACAGGAAGACGATTTATCGACTTTTAATGGTTCAAATGAATGTAACGTGATCAGTGTTTTATTTTGAAAACCTAATTTGCTTCTTTACTGAAAACTAATTCAACATTGTATAATACATCAGATTTTCATCGTTACATTGTAGTATTATTGAATGATATTTTATTGTATGTACTGATATTCTTTACAATTTTTAGAGTGAATCTCACTCTTAAAGATTGAAAATTGAGCTTTTTTTCAAGACTGACTCAATTTTCACTCTTTAGAGTGAAAATCCTCTCCAAAGAATTTAGAAAGTAATATATTGATGTAATCTGCATTTTTCTTATCTTTTCGGCATGAAAATTTTCATATAAAAAATATATTTTTCTATGTTATATAGTTATAATAAAAGTGTGTGAAAATAATTATTTTAATAAAATATTTCAACAATAGAATTTAAAAAGACAAAAAATGATTCGTTTTACCGTTCCAAACGGAAAACCGATATGTCAGCTCCGGAACTTTTTCATAGATCATTATTACTATGGCATATATTTCAAAATATTAAATTGAAAACTATAAAAGTCATTCAAAAACCATCCTCTAAAGATTAATAATTTCTTTTTTTCTCATAAGAATCCGCTTCCATCTCTCGTGCATAAATCGATCTTTCGTTGAAATATAACGTTCATTTCTCTCTACTGTATCTACTGTGAAAGAAAGGGACAAGGGAATGGAACATCACGTTGGCGATTCAAACTCGGAGAATTAATAAGAAGCTAGCGAAGACGCGTTCAATTTTTATTTAACAGGCTAAGAACCTGTCTTAAACAGGAAGTAAACCGCGGGCTGCTGCACTTGGCTGCGAGCGAGGACGCGAAGAAAGCTGCGATAGAAGTCAACGGCAAAGCATAGACGAGAAAGAGACCGCGACAAGGAGATATCAACTCGGCATTAGACCGAGACTGAATATCTGGAAATAAAAGACTGCGGCAGACGCGAAGTACAATTACGTTCGTGATAGCGCTTCGAGACGAAGGACATAAGATGAAGGGATATAATTTAGAAAATCGAAACGCGTGAAAGATCAAGTTCGATAAGAATTATATTAAAAGGATATATATTATAACGAGAATTGTATTATCAACTACGCAGAGATTGCTTCCGTTTCATGGTGACACATTCCTGTGACCGTGTTGAAATATACGCATTGTCGTGAGTATGACAATAATGCAAGGTAAAGAGTCACGGGGGGAAGGCAAAAATTCCAAACGTACAACCAAAATGTTAATCGCTGCGAATCGATCACTGTCACCCGTAGCCCTGAGAAGCACCGAAGGGACCATCCACCGAATCAGGAAGTTTCTCCTTGTAGTACATCTCTTATTCACGGTTGTCGAGTAGCACGGTCGTAACTCCGGTGTGAATTCAACTTGTCTGAGAACGAGTCGGTCGGAGCGAAGAATAATGCGATTCTTGCCGAGTCCGTTCAACGAATTCTCGAATTACACGTTCGCAAGCAACTCGAGAACATCGCGAGCCGAAACTCAGCGAACCCGTGGAAACGATTCGCCAATATTTTTCTCCGCGAGTTTTTTTTTTTCGAGCTGCGTAGGCATCTCCGACTCGATCCTCGAAGCCGGACCCGGGTCGGCTTTTGCAAACACTTGAGCCTCGTTATGACAAGAACCTATACATGTACTTCGTTTGACCATGGCATTTGATGGCGACGCAAACAAAGTATTATAAACGGAACGAACAGAATGAAAAACAGGAAAATAAGACGTGGAGATAGCCTCTTACCTGTGTCGGGATCGACAGTGAAGCTGCTGTTGGCTTGGACCACCGTGTATCTAAGAAGCGAGTTCTTGCCAATATCGGGATCGATGGCGCTCACGGAACCCACTAAAGTACCTGACGGTAGATTCTCAAGCAGCTCAAATCCGTAGAACTCCTTCTCGAATCGCGGATCGTTGTCGTTGTCATCCAGAACCATCACCAGCACGGAGGCACTCGCGGTCGCTGCAGGTGATCCGTTGTCGATCGCGAGAACCGTCAAAGCGTGTCGATCGAGAGTCTCGCGGTCCAAACTCTGCGCGAGGTATATCCAGCCAGTGTTGGGACTGATGCGAAAAGCGGTGGAGCCTTGAAGACGATAGCTCAGTCTCGCATTATTTCCCGTATCCAGATCCACCGCTGTTACTTGAAGAATCTGCAAATGACGAAAAATTCACGATGACCAATATATCTAATGTAATCTGGTTTTGTGATTATTGAATTGCACGCAAGTGCGATAACAACTGTATAACGACTGTTTAATACAACAATTTGAAAATATAAATAAAAGCGCGATCAAATGTTAAAATTCCAGACAAACAGAATCATGATGAAAATCAAAACAAGAGCAATCGTATCGTCGAGAGCGAGAAAGAGTAAGAAAAGGGGAAAAAAAGAGAAGCGGCGTCGGGACCAGTCGATCCGGTTGCTCCGTATTAATTAAACGTACCCAAGAACCGCGAACCCTAAACACGTTCGAACCAGACGATGTTTTCCAGCGCGGGAGGATGGTGAATTGCGAAGGTCGAGGGAAAAAAAAAGAAGAAAAAGTGCAGGATCGGGAGTGTATAAGGTCGTGTTTCGCGCATGAACCTGCGGCTTACGAATGATGGATGGTGGTAGAAGGCGAAAGGAAAGAGGTGGGAATGGAGGAAGAGGAGGAGGAGGATGAGAGAGACGCCGCGACTGGGTTGTCTTCGCGGAGGACCAGCAGAGGGTGGGATGCAGGTTATCATTAGATGAGGAACCTGACGTGGGAGCAGGCAGTAATGTGTCTAACTGTGCGTTATTAGTTTATGATGGGTGAAGGGTTATGCTCACTGCAAGGTTATTCTTTCGCTCCAACTCCACTTCCTTCCCGCCATGTATCTATCTTGCTTTCTCGCTCAGATTTTTCTGTCTCATTCCACTTTTAACGTACACTAATGGTTGAGATATTGTCCGGATACCACCGACAGCTTACAGATCTGTTTCACCGATAAATACCACCGATATATAGTCGATACGTAAGGAAGAAGATGGAAGATAGAGTAATAATGAGGGAAGAAGGAAGAAGAAAAGGAAGGGATAAGTTGGACGAAGGAGATAGATAGATTTTTTATTAATTTATTTTATTAATTTAAAGGACGTTTATTAATATTCTAGGACAAGTCCTCTAAAGCCTTGTGTCCACGATGCTAGAAATTGGTCCGAGATCTCGGAGAGAGAAAGAATTAACCAATCACATTTAAATAATTTAGTCACATGATCAATGCGATTGGTCAATTCTTTCTTCATCCGAGATCTCTGACGGATTTCTAGCATCGTGGACACTGGACTTAAGACTATAAAAATGACAAGCAAAAAGAAAATGAAAAAGGGAGAGAAAAAAAGAGAATGGAGCACGAATTAACGTTTCCTCTGTCGTATCCGTGCACGTTGTATTAAAAATACGACGTCGTTTAATGAGTATATTTCATGGTGAGACTCTTATTGTCATTCACAATCGGTATCCACAATCGGTATTCAGAATTACGTTCACTCGATGCGGTTATCATCGCCATGAAGAAACCCTCGGACCTATCAGCCGCGCGCCAAAGACGCCCCGATTCTCGCGAGTTTCGCGGCTAATGATTCTCTTCTCCTCAACGCGATCCCTCGTCACAAAACCTCGCCGTCGACCTATACTCGCTCTTATTTCGATTTTTTGCCGGATAATGACTGATATGTATAGATAATTACAGGGGAAGAGGTGCACGTCGCCGTCGGCGATCTTCGCGGATGGACCTGCGTTTCCGAGGCCCACAAGCATCGCTTCGGATTTGCTCTGGGCGTTCTCCTAACGACGAAGATCGAGGATTCGCACACACACGCATATATATATATATATACACATATATATAGGTTTGAATAACGTAGGAATTCAAATTTATTAAATTCAATCAAAATTTTACTATTTTGGGGGATATAATTGTATATAATGCAATAGATCTTTCTTGTTGGAAACCTATAGTGAATTCGTTTGGGCACACTAATGAGAACTAGTCCATATTAAAGTCGTTGTACACTGATTTAATCAATGTAAAAGTAAAATGTAAATATTTTGAATTATAAAATAAAGATTTTACTTAACAGCACAATAAAATGAGGATTTCATGGTTCAATCCGTTTTTATATTTATATTAAATACACATTTTTACGTTAATTTGTATACGACAGCTTTAATATGCACCAATGCGTACTGAATGCATCCAATCGAATTCGCTATTATATACTCGCGAAATGATCGACCGTATGGCATGGCGCGGTGTTTTTGCGGGCCTATCGACTGTTACCTATCAATCCTAGACCGCTCTCGTGGAACTCGCTATTCGCAATCGATATCAACACGCGGCAACGTGCCGTGTCTGAATATCAGATTATCGGGCATTTCCTATCCATCTCCTGGTTTCGAACGGGTCCATCGAGCAACCATAGTGGAATAACATCGGCTAATCTCGCTGCAGCGTCCGGTTAATTCCGTTCTAGTCGGCGCAGGGTTAATTCTCTCTTTGCCTACAAGGTGAACTTTACGAGTCAACGTCTTCTTCTACTACTTCTTCTTCCTCTTCTGTTCCCTACTCTTTCGAGAGAAGCTACCCGGAAGGGGAATAGACGACTGGTAGCCGTGGCGTACGCCTCGCGATACGAGAAGGGGCAAAGGGTTCATAAGCGCGTTCTTCCTGGTTGTCCCGGATAAAATTACGCATCCCAGAGACAGGAGAAGTACGTTTGGATACACGGGAGCAAAAAGAATTCAGCCAGAGGAAAAAAGGGAACCATCACTTTGGTCGCGAAGAGATACCGATGAAGAGCGGAAGAAAGGTTGAAGAGAGAGGTTGTTAACTTTACCATCCGATCCAGAAATTCTACCTCTCCTGCTCTCTCGTTCTCTCTCTCTCTCTCTCTCTCTCTCTTTCTGTTTCCTTTTTCGAAGAACTCTACCGCATCCTCTCGACAAACAAATGCTCGCGTGACGGGCGTGTAATGAAGATTTTTCTCACCTGGGAATCGAGCCTGGCGCCTTCGGGAACCTCCACATGATACTCGTTCCTCTCGAACACTGGGGGGTTGTCATTCACATCTTGCACCTCGACGCTCAGGCTGAGGTTAGACGAGAGTCCGGCGCCGTCCAGAGCACTTATCAGGAGACCGTGCCTCTGCTGAGTCTCGTAATCCAATCGCCTCGCCAAATAGAGCTCGCCGGTGCGCTCGTCTATCCCAAACAGGTTGTTGCTGTTCTGACCGAGAATATAGCGTATCGGCAGCAACGGCGTAATGTCGGGATCAGTAGCGTGCGCTACGTACAAAGGCACATGAAGAGGATGCGATTCTGGCACTGAGATGCGGACAGTGTTTGTGCGAAATGACGGCGCGTTGTCGTTCACATCTTCCACAATCACTTCCAACTGTAACGAAAAGAAAAACACGGACGGATGTCGTGTAAGCGCTTCAATTGACTCGGCAATGTGTTTTTCACGATACACAAGCGAAAAACACTACTCATGCTTCGTTAATACGAAACCGGTAAACGACAGACTATAAAAAAATCTTTCTTTTAGAAGAGTACTAATTTGCTAACAAGCACATGCGCGTTGTTCACTGAATATTAATATAATATCGATGCGAAAAATCATAACACAAAAAATCATAACGCGAATTTTTCGCACGCTTCGGGATTATTATATGTGCATTCAGGATAAATATATTGAGAACACGGATAAACAACTATGATTACGGTGAGTTAATACAAGATACGATGATTATCTGGATGCGTAATTTACCTGGCAATATCCAACGGAGACGCCATTACGTGCCTCGACGCTGAGAACATATTTGTCACGTGATTCCCGATCGAGCGGCTGTCGAATCCTTAGCATCCCCGTGTTGGGATCCAGCGAGAGATCAGCTTCTTCTCTTGCCAGATAAAACCTGCTTGGTCGTTCGCCTGGAAATGCAGAATACATAATTTAAATAATGTATACAGATATACATGCATCAGATATAAATAAGGGGGGGAAATAGCTTTAAACGAGGGAAGAGAAACACATATTGCGTTAATTTATTCATAATAAGTCTCGTCGTTCACCTCGTTCAGTGGGGGCTAATTAAAACAGTTACACCGGATTAATCTCGATAAATTATGATGCGGGTATCAAATAGTACTTGAGTTTCCGGTTGCATTTACATAAAGATTTGCATTATCGCAATTTAGTTTTCATAATGACTCTTGGTTCACCAAACATTCAGTTGATTGACATGAGTTGTTATTAAATCACTATACTTAAATATAGTGACCGGAAGATCGATAACTAGTTAAGGACAATTTCTCGTGAAGGTTCTAATGAAGATGTCAAATTGATTTGCTTTTACAATATCAATGATCTTCAAAACGGTACACACATCGATCATCAGAAAAATCACTCCGACGTGCGGCATGACTTCAAAGATCTCTCACGTGAAAATAAGACTACTCCAAAGGAACGTTAGCTGAAGAATGTGATGTGCCCGACTCTGCTAGCAACGTCAATCAATTGTTTCGTATCATGATTTAGCTTATACAAATTAAACACGAAATTTTCTACATATGTTTTTATTATTTCTATTTTTGTGTTATACGTGCAAAAAAAGGGATAAATTTATTTCTCCATTAAAACTATGGCGGTATCGTGACTGTCGTAAAAGCGGGGCTAGTCCAGGTGCGCCGCTAAGTAGAACCTTCGGGCGAGAGCTGTCGCGCGTCGCTGAGATCTCATTCGTCACGGTTACGATCGGGGAGCGTTGCGCTTGAAGGATCGTGTCTGATCGGCGGCACGATCTCACGGTAGATCTTTGGCGATGGTTGCACACGGACGAGCGAGATGGCCCGCGGTCTGCGTTTGTACGGTGATACCGAGTATCGGTCGTTCGCCGTGTACGGCAAGAACAAGCGGGGCACGTGTGCTTCGTAACACGCACGTGAGAGACGAACGACGGATGAATGATGGCGATTTATCGATTCCACGACATCGACCTCGCTCGACCTCCTCGCGCGAGCCGACCGGTACCGCCCAGTCCCGCTGCCTCGGAATCAATTAATAGCCAAACTGGCCGATCATTACCACTAGCAGATGCAATTCCGTGATGAACGATTCAAGCAGCGTGAGCATTTTCTCAGCGTAACAAGTGACGGCGGTCTGCACACCCACGAAGAATTGTTACAAATTCCTCATACTAAATTTTATAACTTTTTCCTGATTTCCAGACAAAATTTCATTATTTTCCCTGATGTTTTAAATAATATTTTGAAATTTTTTGTATTTTTGTTTCTAATTTGGAAACCATCAAATATTTTGTTGAGAGAGCAATTTAACATAACAATATTAATTGTTATTAATGTTACTGACACTGCTTGCATTTAATTGTTAAGTTGGTAGTATTCCAAAACTGCGCAAGTGTGATGTACGCATATTAAGAGCTTTTAAGTCAAGAATCTTAATTTTTCAGAAAATTTTGCAAAATTCTTTGACTTTTTCTCAATTCCCTTAATCGTTTTCAATTTTTGACATTTCCCTGATTTCCAATTTTGTGGAAACCTCTGCCACATTTTCCCAAGAATTGTGAGTTCTATGTTCATAGAAAAACAAAATCGGAAATATCATGATATTAAAGTCACGTGATACACTGAGATATCTGACAGTCTGTTTAGATCTAATGCGTCGTGCCGGGACGTGTCTCTGATTCGCCACTTGATAGATGATGCTTGTATAATTGGACAGCTTATTTGAAAGAGAGGCCCCTCTCAAAATCATTAGTTTGTCAATATCGAGTCAAAGGCGTATCTTTAACGCACGTCATTTCGACGTAAAAAGGATCTTAATCAAATTGATGAAAAAGCGTCCACTTCGTTTACTTTTCGTAATCGGTAATTAACCGTTTTATTAATGATGTATGAAATCCGGTTTAACGGCAATTTATTACGGCCGTATGGGCTTTCTGCGTTATCCGACGTCGCGCCGCGAAAACACGTCGCGAGGCCATATCCAATTACAGACGTATCTCATCGTACACACACGCAACAGGTAAGGCACGCACCAGCACGCGTATATCGATAATTGCTCTGATCGATCGATCGGATGCACGTGGTCTGGGCCAAAAACGGGAGCTGCGATCACTCGCATCCGGGATGTGCCCTTCCTAGATGTGTTTCGACAAATCCGCTGTGAGATCTACCGCGATGAGATTGTATCTCGTCGATTTCGAACAAGTTTTTCTTCGCGATACAACAGGAAAAACCAGGTAGATGGGAAACGTTGTCTCGGTGAGTCGATCCGAGAAATAATCGTCCATTTTATTTCCACGGTAATTCGTGACGTCTGCGTTGCCGTCGTCGACGATGTCTGTGTCGTCTACATCGAATATCGTCGGTGATATTGGGTGACATCGACTGTTCGACCAATGCCTTAAAGATGGTACTCGGTCGCGTACGTGGATGGCATAATTTATAGACCGCTATTTATACTCGATCCAACTTGTTCATCCTTTTCCCCCGTTTCCCCTTTCGCGTCGATGCACGTGACAGAGTGGAAGGTGTATACTCCTATATATATAAATATATTTGTGCAAATAACGGCCGGAATACATACTTTGGTCAGCGGTGTCCAGCACTTTGGGGAACATTTCATATTTTATTTGAGAATTGCAACAAAATGATTACGGGATCTGAGCCGCGAGGAAATCTCTTAATTCGCAACGCTAAATAATTCCACGAACATTTAAATGTCGGGATATTGATACAATCTTCATCATCCTCAGCTCGTTTTGTTAATATCCGAAAGATTGTCCGGTCAGACACCCTGTATACGCGGACACGCACTTGAACGCGGACAGGACACGCGTATGTGTGTACGACAGGTACGCATACTTCGCTCGGATCGGCTCATTCGTAAAATATATGTGCAAAGGATTGAAACACCATGCTCTTGCGTGAACGTATACGCGCGGCGCGCGTGTAATTACGCGAATGCGTTAGTACCGCGAGACTGGTCTGGAAGACGTACGCGTTTTATATCCACCGCGATACCTCTACCCATCAGCATTCGGTACCCGTGTTATTAAACGTCCGCGTGATCTTTTTCCACGGGCTCTCCGCCGCGAGAGGAGGGTCCGCCGATCCTGTACTACTCCCCGTATATAATTACGATTTACTCCGCATCCCGATACGCCGAGATACCGCTCGAGTATCCTGCCCGTGCAAAAGGATTTCGACGAGCGACTTCGGAAGGGTATGACACGCCGGACAAATCTGTGTCCCTTCCCGCCGTATAAGCCGCCGTGGCGAGAAAGCTAGCCATTAAGATACGCATATTTGGCAATAAATCTTAAGGCATAATAAAATCAAAGTGCACAAAACGTGCATTCTTCCTACGAATACGAAATATTGCAGTTCGGATTTTTACCTTACACCAAAAAATCATCAATATCATTTAAATATTGCAGTTTATTATAATGAATAAAATAAGTCTTTTGAACATACGGATAAAAGTTTTTCAATTCTAATAGATTATCAAGAGATTTTAAGTGTATTAAAATTTTATATTGTACGAAAATTAAAAACGACACATTTAAACGAATTTTTTGTTATATTTTGTTATGTTTGCACGTTATATATTTCGTTTTGTCTATACAAAATTTGCCTATCAACAAGTTCTGCAGTATTTCGTAAAAAGAGATATAATAAATTTGTAATATAATAAAATTAACGAGACCGTAAATAAAGATACTGTAAATAAATTTTCAACCGCCGGGATATTTTCGTCATAGAGCATTATATTTATTTAAAATAATCATCGTACAAGGTGCACATGTAGTGCGGTCACGTTTTTCTCCCACCGATGCCGGTTGTTCGCGAGGGCTTCGTCACCCCAGTTACACACGCGTCCCCCCGGGGTGCCCACGTGGGTGTAACGAAGACAAATCGCTCGCGTATTTGATTAATTCGCGAAGATCGCCGGTCCAGTACTGGATTCTCCCGACCTCCTCCTCGCATCCTTCGTCCTCCGGCATCGTGGATCGAATCGAGAGCGAGTTTTTGCCGGTGATGTCGGGGCAGGGAAGAAACCCGTAACGCACTCATTACTGATTCTCGCCCTTATGCGTTCTCCGCACGAAGAGGTAAAACGAGACATTCCGTCGGATTTCTATACCGAGAAATCTCTCGGTAGCCGGCGGAAATTTGAGATGACGACGCTCAACAAAAATCGTAATGACTGGATATCAGAACGCGCGAGGAGAAATCAAGCGACAGTGTAGCGCGTTGCGCTATGAGTAGACGTTGTATTGCGAGTTTCCTTTCCTTTTTGCATCGACAAGTAGTCGCGAATGGCGAAGGTAGCGGTCAATGTTTACTGATCAGCATATCCTGCTTTCACGGCATGCGTGTTGGCGCAATCGCCGCGCGTGCGTGAACGTGCGCGATGCACCTCTTGCATACCGACTTCTACATATTGACAGTACGAAGTAGCCGGGATAATCCCACAGTTTCCTTCTTTTGTCAATCCTAAACAATGCCGGTAAATGTACAACTTTTTTTTTCAAAATTTTCTCCAATTTTTTGCTTCCTCGTCTGTTCCCTGTGAATTTCTCTTCTACCTTTTCTTCTTATTGCTTTTCGTGACAGTCCCTTTTGCTCTGTCCTCTTTCTATCCTTTCATCCCGCTCTATTCCACTTCACGGTCCTCCCCTCCCAATCGCACAAATGGAATTCATTTCTAGTTCCTTGACTCTTGGTCCCCACTCGTTCCTCCACGTTCCTCGTCCCTCTTTCGTTTTATCTCTGTTCTGCTGATCCTGTCCAGTTTTCATCTGGACCGTTCTCACATGCACGATGTACCGCGGCAACGACGACGATGATGATGACGAACACGAAGATCAAGGATGCTCATGCAATCGCGCGGTAGCAGGATACTA